GGTTCCCCATGATGACTTTGCTTTGCTTTTGACAAAGGCGGCGTCGGTGCCCTCAAAATGTCGGCTCTGTGCAGACCCACCATCTCCGTCAACACGCAATGCAACATACACTATGTGGCAAAATCTGGCTCACGCGCGGGAGCCCCGCGATCACTTTGCACTGGTCTTTGACAGAGGTGGTGGGCGGGGGGGTGCACTCATATTGACTGCACAGAGGCCTCCTAGATCGGGTCGGAGTAGATGGGGTCAGAGGATCGCCCCGCATCGGCGATGTCGGCGTGGAGGAAAGCGGGCTCCACATCGAGCCGCATCGCCGATGCATCGGCGATGCGGCACGATCGTCCGACCACATCTAGTCCGATCCCATCCGGGAGGCCTCGACTGCTCTGCGCAGTCTCACGATGGTTCCCTATTGATAAGTACCCCTCCCCCAGGCGACCAGCAACCAACCAAGACCAATGCCAACACCCCACCGACCCATCCCATTAAACAACAATACGAATACACACTTTGGGGCAACATCTTGGGTCATGCTCGTGGGCCTCGCGAGTATCTCGTATTGTTCTTTGACCGGGACGGCGGGGGTGCGCTCACATTGCCTGCTTTGCGCAAGAGCACCGTCCCTGTCACAAAGCATTGCAAGATGCATTTCGCGGCTAAATCTGGATCATGCGCCGCCATCCGCGATCACTGTCCATTAGTGTTTGACACGGACCGCGGGGGTGCTGGCATAGTGTCTGCTGTGTGCAGGCCCACTTGACACCATGATGGCGTCCCCGCCGCGATTGTGTATTGGCTTTCGAGAAAGATGGTTGGGGCCGACATGTTTCCCGATGTGTGCTGTCACGTGCGCGGGCGCACCTGGCACACTCTGCGCGTACCCCGGACGTGCCGCACCTGGTGCGGCCGGACTATGCGGCACGCATGGCGCGCGTGGAGCACGTGGCGCTCTGGCGCGCGAGGCGTGCCTGGCACGCGTGGGCCGCATGGGTGGCTGGCGCACCTGGAGCGCCTGGCACGCGTGGCGCACCTCGCCCCATCGCGCATATGGGGTCTGTACTGGTTTTCAGTAGCTGCCCATCCATGAACGACCGCTGAACATGCTGAGGCCCGGGTGCTACTTATGTGTTGGGAGGGCGGGTGGGAGTCAACGAGACAGCTTGCGGGCGGGGAGGGTATCTTGACCCCTCCTCGAACCGCCTCCCCCTGGGTTTGGACGGTGCGCCCCGCGGGTCGTTGAAGCGTCCAAGGTAGCTCCAGCGAGAAGACTCAATCATGGATGTTACCTCGGTGTTGGGTCCCTTTTGGCCTCCTGGGGGGGCAGGGTTGTTAGGGCCCCCCATCCTTAATCGATAGCCTCCAAGATGGCCCCACGGCGACACGAACAGCCAACAAGAGAGCCCAAAGAGGGCCCCAAGAGGCTCCCAGAGGCCTCCAAGAAACGCCCTAGACCCAAACTGCTCCAAGGGGCTTCCCAAGAGCCGGCAAGAGGCGCCAATGACGCCTCAAGAAGCCTCTAAGAAGCCCCCGACAGAGCCAAGAGACCCACGGAGGCATCCACGGGGCCTCTGGCCCACAAAGGACCCCCGAGATCTCTAAGTGATGCCACGCTCCCCCGTTCAGGGTAGTTCCGCTGGGCATCGTGTCTGGATTGGCTGGTGGGGATACCCACCGCATTAAGACTTTGAGTACTCTGTCAGGGGACGGCAGCGTCGAATTCTGGGCGCTACTGGGCGCTGTTGGGGCTTGTCGCATGTTGTCGCGTGACTTTTCCGAAGCAAGGGGGTCCCAAAACGAGCCAGGAGTGTACCAAGAGGCCCCCAGAATGGTGCAAGGAGGCACCGAGCCGCCCAACGATTGCTCCACGACACCCAAGAGGGTCTCCAGATGGAGGGAGAGGCTCCCAAGACACCCCAAGATGGCTGCCCGCTGCGAGGGCAACATGATGCATGTTTCTTATTCCCCAGTTAGGCTTGCCTAAGGGGTTCTTACTTGGTTAAAGGTTGATGCCTCGTATTCTTACGTTGCTCGTTGCTCGGGGGTTCCCCCGATTCCCCGCCCCCGGTGTTTCATATTCTTACGTTGCCCGTTCCGGGGGGGGTCCCTGGGTTCCCCGCCCATGGTGCCTCATGCCCAGCAGCAAAGCCACGCAATGCCAAGCAGTGCGACGCAATGCGAAGCAATGTGAACCAATGCCAAGGCCAAACACTGCGAAGCCCTGCGAAGCAATGGCAAGAAATACGAAGCAATTCCAAACAGTGCCAAGCAATGCCAAGCATGGCGAAGCAACGCGAAGCAATGCGAAGCAATGCCAAACAATGCCAAACAATGCCAAGCACTGCCACGAAATGCCACGCAATGCAACGCACTGCGAAGCAATGCGAAGCAGTGCGAAGCAATGCGAAACAATGCGAAGCACTGAAACACACTGCCAAGCAATGCAAAACAATGCGAAGCAATGCCAAACACTGCCAAGCAATGCCAAGCACTGCGAAGCAATGCGACGCAATGCGACGCAAGGTGACGCAAGGCGAAGCACTGCGAAGCAATGCGACGCAATGCGAAGCAATGCCAAACCCTGCGCCCATGCAATAAGACACTCCCCCTAATTGGGGTCGCGGTGGGTTCAAATGTTCAAAGCTAGGTTTTAACGCTCCCGCCTTTTCGAGCTTCCGAGGCTTCAAGACGGCCCAAGAGGTCTCGAAGATCGCCCCAAGATGCCCCCTAGACGGCCCCTGTGGCCCCGGCCCCAAGAGGGCCACAAGAGGACCCAAAGAGGGGGAACTCGAATATACATGTCGAGACCTCTGCTCCAAGATGACCCCTGAGACCGCCAGCATACCTCTAAGAGGTCCCGAAAGCCCGAGGAGGCCCCAAGCGGATGGTCCCAAGATGTCTCCAAGACGGGCGGAAATGCTCCACAGATGGCCCAAGACGGCCCGAGGACCTCCAGGAAGGCTTGAAGAGCCCAGAGTCATTGGATTTCCTTCGCGACTTGGCTGGCCGATAGCTTGGCTGAGCGCTGGCCGAGCTCTGGCCCCAACGGTCGGCCCTGTAGGCGCTCCCAAACAGCAAGGGGAGGCGGTGATTCGCCATGGGCGTTTTCGATATAACTATATAGTTGTATACATGCCCACCGCCCGTCCTCATTCACCGTATGCCCGTTCCTCCTAGCGCCAGCGCCCAGACCGTCCATGTCCCTGGCTGCGTAATTCCGCTGCCCCCCTGATGGCCCTGTCACGCGGGCGACTCCACTCCGCCCCTAAAAAACAAGACACCACCCGTGGTCCCACCCCTGCGTCCGGCACGCACGCGTACAAAGTCGTCACGGTCTGAGCGTGCCCCGCAGCCTGCGGCAGCCCTCCCTGCCGGGGCTCTCCGCCCGTTTCCTCTGTTCCAGCATGCCCGATTCGCCACGGATGTGTCCCGCCGTTGCCTTGACCGCGTCTTGGACCCAGGTCGCCGCTGACAAACAAGTTTTCACACACGCGTGTCGTTCCACCCTGAAGGTTAATCCTTTCAACAAGGACGTCTGGCCGTCGACCTTTCAGAATGCATGGCGAGAGTGGGGCGCGGTGCACATCGAGCTCGAAAGAATGCAATGCCGCTCCAGCGCAGGCGCCGCGCATCTGCCGGGCGAGCCGCGCTCCCGCACGGGCGCGGCGAACGTCGTTGTCTCACCGAGTCGTGGGTGGCAGGGCCGCTCCCGGGAGAGGGAAACGCTGCCCTCGCCCGCGCGCTGCGCAGGCTCTTCCTGCAAGCTGTGATCCTTCTTGGGCGCGCCGCATGCTCCCGCCAAGAGTCAACGAAAGCGCTGGTCGCGCGCCCGCAGGCGGAACTCCCCGCCCGCGCCTCGAATGCCAGGCACTCCGTGAAACTGCGCTCCCGCCCGAACTCGGCGCGTGCTTCGATGCGCCTAGTCGTCGGAAGCGGGGCCGCTCGCGAGCCAGCGCCTTTCACATGCGGCAGGCTGGAGCACTCACGATTGCAACCTTCCAGTTGTGCCGGCGCTGCTTCGTCTGTTGTGGGAGGAGGGGGAGGGTGGAAGGGGCAGGGCCCGCTCGAGCTGCCTGGCTTGACTTTCAATCCTGCGCCTACTCGGCTTCTCCTCACCCTTCCTCTCCTCCTCCTAGCCATAATCTGCCCCTATCCTTAAAAAAGGAGCAGTCCATGGTGCGATCCTCACCTCCCGAACGAAGAGGGAGACACGTTGAGAGCAAGACGAAAATGATGTTGGCACATGCTTGGTTCTGGACATGGGGGTCTTTGGTAATGGGGCCACCAACAAATTCAGTAGTTCATCCTGTAGCACATGGCGCGCGGCAAAGACGTGCAGATATTGTGCGACGTGCGCATCCCGCACGAGCGATTGTGCGCACTATTGCGAGCATTTTGAGACCCCCTTTGCAAAGGACACATTGGGCCCAATCTGACACGGGAGACGCAGATGAGCAAACTATCAGAACTCATGGCCGATTCCGCTGTCCTGAACCCACCTATTGGGGCCCTCTTGGGGCAGCCTTGGGGGCCTCGGGGGCCGTCTAGGAGATCGGTCAGAGACGGGAGGCCAACAGGTGACCGAAACCCCGATACAAATCAATGGTTTTGGCTCCCTCGCCGAGGCCATCTCGGACGCTCCCAAACACGGTGACGCCTCCCCTCGTGCTCGCTGCCCTCCGCTGGTGGGCCCGCCGCCGCTCTGCTTCCGCCGGCCTTCCGCCGCAAGCGACCTGCGCCGCAGGCGAGGCCCTCCCCGGGGTGCCCCGTGCAGCAGCAGCGTGCTGGCACACAGAGAGGGGGAGCTGGACGCCCGGAGGGGGTGCGGGAAAACATGGTCCCGAACCGACAGCGGCCGCTGCTGGGCAGCGGGCCGTCTGCCTCAAATGGGCAACGTCCGCAGCGACACCGACAACGAGCCCTGCTCAAAATGAACACGAACTGGCCCAAGGGGAGACGACCAGGGGAAGGCGCCGGCGCCGAAACGAGCGGCGGCAGGCGTCCTGGAGCCGCTGCCAGTAGTGCTGCTCGCCAGCGTAGAGACCCAGTGCTTCTCTGCCTCGGAGGCAGCAGAACTTCTCACATAAGCTGTTTTGACTCCACCTCCGCCTTCTCCTCCTCCTGCTCCTCCTCCTCCTCCTCCTCCCAGCCTTTCCACACTGGCGCCTCTACGCTGTTACACCCGTATTCGATATAACGCAAAGCAGCTGATGGATGTAATGAGGGGAGAGACTTTTTTGATTCGTGGGTCGGGAGCGCACCTCTTCTGGTCGAAGCTAAGCGGGCCGCGCGAAGCTTGAATTAAAGAAGAGGGGGGGGGGGGGCAGAAGGAGGGCGGCCTCACGGCAAGGCCAGGAGGAGGCAAAACCTCGGGATCAGGCGGTGCCGAAAACGACGTGCTTGCATAGGGATGCCTTGTACAGGAACCCGGAGGCGAAGTATTGGTAGAAGCAAAATGCTGTGGTTGGTGGTGCCGTCAACGGCTCATCATGTACACCAGCCTCGAGTGGCGGCGGGAGAGGACGCGCCTTGTGCCCAAGCGGCATCGACCAGGGAGGGTGGAGAGCATCGCTGAGCCGAAGTGCAACGTTGCCGAGAGGAGAGACAAGAACAGGTTTTTCTGTTGCCTGCGTTCGCACTCATAGACAGCCAACCTCCTAAAGGAAGGTTCCCAGAACGACTGTGGTGAGACAGGATGGGCCAGCGGAATGAGCGAAACTATTAGATTCGGCGGGCCCCCTGGGGGCCCTCGCCGTGTTAGCCGTCGAGACAAGATGATGAGATTCATGTGAACTGGTGGCTTCTGAGAAACATGCGTATAAATGCATTGGAGGAGCGGCTTCGCGCATTCCGCCGGCCGATGATGTTTCGAAGACATCTCCCTCAGCCTTCCTCATGTCTGGTCTCAGTTCGGCACGTAAAAGAAAACATGATCAGCGACTTCAGGCTCCTGGGGCACGTCAGAATAGTCAGAATTCTAGTGATTTGCCTCGAGGCTCCTGAGAAAGGCAAACATACTAGTGAGCAGCCTTGCTCTTCTCCTGGGAGCCTCGATCAGGCCCTCCCCCCCCCTTACGCACCTCTATTTTCATTTCGACGCGTAAGCATACAAATGATCTGTGCTTTGAGGCTCCCGGAGCGCGTGAAATACGAGTGAGGGCTGCATCGCAGTTCTTGGGGCATGTGAACACATGTATGATCCGCGCCCCGAGGGGCTACGACAATTCCGTCTCGGCGCACCTCTCACGCACATCCCGTCTGACATCACTCTGGGGCGCGTGACTTGCCCTGGCAGGGCCGCGAAAAGCTTGATCCTGCACGCCCCGTCCGACCACCCGCGGGACGCAACGTGGCCCCAAGATTGGTGCCAACCCTCGTGGAGGCAGCATCCCCAACGCCCAGGGGTTGCACAAGCTGCGTGCAAGCTTCTCCCTAGGGGGGCTCGCCGTGGCTCCCACTCTGCAGGCTCGGCAAAGCATTTCGACCCCAAGGGTGCCCCTCCCGGGAACCGCACGTCCCGCTGGCCCGAGGGCCTTGGGCCCAGCACAGGCGCCCTCTGGCCACCACTTCCGTTCCAACACGCGTTTCGGGTTCTGATTATCTGAGCACCGCTGGGCCCTCCCAAAAACCTCCCCGAGAGTCCCCCAAACCGGTTTTTTGGGGCCTCTCGGGGCCCTTCTGGCCTCATTTTGCCAATCCTTACACGACTTAGGGTGCCTCTCCACCTTCGTTCGGGTTCAAAGCACTTGCAAGCCCCGATGAGCCAGCAACCTGGTAAAACACTTCAGATATTGACGATTTAAGCCGTCTCGGGCTTGTCCGTGCGCGTTTCTTGGAGCTCCAGTGCATCTCCCTGGGCTCCTCCTTCAATCTCGTAATCTGCGGATACTTTTTGTGGCCGTCCTGGCTGCCTCTCGCCCCCCGAGCTCTCTGAACGCCTTCTGGGCTGCTTTTTCGGTTGTCCGGGGCAACCCCAGAGAGCCCCCGGGAGCCTCTCCAGGAGTCCAAAACTAAGATGCGATGCTTCGTAACCCCAACCGCTTGCTTCGTTGACATCACTCCGCCGCTCTCGACTCATCCTGGTCGACGGTCAAATTTTGGGCCCCTCGAGGGGCCCCTCAGCGCCCTGTCTGGACCGAACCCGACGGTTGTTGGAACTTTTCCAATCTCTCTGCGGCCGTCCAGGCGGCTTGTCGGGGCCCTCTTTGGCTTCCGGAAGAAGGTTCCCTGTAACTGTCCGCGCCTTTTTGGGCCACCCTCGCGCCTGCGTGACCCAGTGCTGCTCAGGAGGTCCACGTCTTTCTATAGCGCGCCTCTTCAAATTCGATCGCAGCATTCACGTCTTCCAACGTCTGCATCAAGGCGACCGTGCTTCAAAAGCAATGGGGCGGCGGTGGCTGCCCCTGTGGGGGCGTCCAATGCAATCAGGTATTTCGACTCCAGTCCCAAACTCAGTGAGACTTTCCACGGGCCAAACAACTTGGGGCCCGATTCAGGGGCATGCGATGGGGGGGTGCGCCCATCGAGTGTATCCTAGAGTTTCCCCACTATTCCACTCAACTACTCGTCACGCGGCAACACCTGGGGGTGGACCAGAAACTACTCAAATCTAACCGTCACGCGGCAAGGCCCCGAGACGGAATGCACACAATTCCACTCCACTCGCCCCGTGGAATGAACACAAACTACATCCCCCTACTCATCTCGCGGCAAGGCCTGGACGGTGCACCAACAACTACTAGCTATGATCTTCTACGCGCTATGTGGCAACGCAGGAGAGGCGGAAACACATCCTATTATTCTACGTGTCGCTTCACGCGGCAGCGCTGGGGGTCGAGAACATATTCCACTCTTCTCGCCGCGTGGTACCGCCCGGGGGGGACGACGACGAACTACTATCCTACTCGACTCATCACGTGGCAATACCTGGGAAGCGAAGGAGCCATACCCCGCTCTACTCGACTCGCGGTAACGCCTGGAAAACGACACAACAACTATTATGCTTTTCCACACGCCACGTTGCAACGCAGAGATGCAGTACCATATGTTTTTTCACTACTCACACCGCGCGGCGACGCCTAGGGGCCGAACGCATATTCCACTCTACTCGCCACGCGGCAACGCCTGTGGGGGGAACAATCTATTCCAATCTACCCGTCACGTGGCATGGCCACGGGGTGGGAAACATACAATTCCACTCCGCTCGCCCCGTGGCAACGTCTGGGGGATGAACACAACCTATCCTACTCTGTTCGTCTCGTGGCAACACCTGGCAAGCGAAACAACAACCACTCCGCTCTTCTGTGCGCCACGTGTCAACGCAAAGGGGCAGCACAACTACTTTTTGCGTTTCGCGTCACGCGGCAACGCCTGAGGGCCGAGAACCTATTCCATCCACTCTACTCGCCACTTGGCAACACCAGGGAAGGCGAAAAGCACTATCTCGCTCTACTCGTCACGCGGCAATGCATGTATGTATGTATGTATGTATGTATGTATGTATGTATGTATGTATGTATGTAGGTATGTAGGTATGTATGTATGTATGTATGTATATATATATACATATGTAAGAACTTGCCTCTGTAGGGGTCCTAGCGGATTCATATGGTTAGGTGAGGTGTGCCGCCGATTTCGGCGGCGGGCCCGGGTGCCCTGGTGCCCGGGTGCCCAAAGGTGCCCAAGGGTGCCTGGCGGTGCTCTGGGGTGCCCAGAGGTGCCCAGGGGTGCCTGGGTGCCCGGGTGCTCTATCGCCCTATAGCCCTATAGCCCTATAGCCCAATAGCCCAATAGCCCAATAGCCCAATAGCCCAATAGCCTTATAGCCCTATAGCCCTATGGCCCTATAGCCCTGTAGCCCTGTAGCCCTATAGCCCTATAGCCCAATAGCCCAATAGCCCAATAGCTCATATAGCCCTACAGCCCCAAACATATTATGATTGGGGCTCTTCTCCAGTATCACATATATGTATGTATATGTATAGGTGTGTGTATGTGTGTTGAAACAGACCATGCCAATCTACCTGTCACGCGGCAACGCCACAGGGTGGGAAACATACAAATCGTCTGTGATCCTTTCGCGGAACCGCCTGGCAAGCGAAACAACAACGACTATGCTTTTTTACGCGCCACGTGGCAACGAAGAACTGCTCACAGCATGCGGTACCCCCAAGGGGCGACAACATATTATCCCACTATACTCGTCATGTGGCAGCGCCTGGGTGGCGAAGAACAATACATCCCATTCTAATTGTCCCACGGTGACGCCTGGGAAGCGAAACAACAACTGCTATGCTTTTTTTACGCCGCCTGGCAACGTAGACAGGCAAAACCACATACTCTTCCACCACTCACGTCACGGGGCAACACCGGGAACGACTCTCACGGCGCCTCACCGAGAGCGCCTCGCCCACCGCGCCTCCGAAGGCGCCGGCCCCAGCCAGGCGGACCAGATCCCATCTAGTCCAAACCAAATCGACGATCAACCTACGTCAACAATTTACCGCCAACGGAAGAGATCGCGATCGAGCCCGAACACACAGCGATAATCATGTTGCTATGCCCTCCCCTGTCTGTCAGTGCTAGCTCCCCCACCCCTCCAGTCTGATCTGATCCGATGCTCTGGGTGAAGAGGGACAGAGAGAGAGAGAGAGAGCGCGCGCGCAACGATTCGGACACCGCGTGTCCAGGCGTGAAGCTACAAGCGCCACACTGCGCCCATCTCTTGTGGCGGGAGGGGCCGCTGATTTTATCGGGGGAGGTGTGAGAGAAAGAGCAAGAGAGAGAGAGAGAGAGACAGAGAGAGAAAAAGAGAGAGAGAGAGTGACAGAGAGAGAGAGAGAGAGACAGACAGAGAGAGACAAAGAGAGAGAAAGAGAGCGAGAGACAAGGATGGAAGGCTCTTTGTACCCTCCCCTGGGTTAGCCCTGGAGAGGAGGTGGGCTGGTCTTCTCCCCCGCCGCGTCGAAGCCGGCCCCATCCCCGTTTCGGCCCCGCCCCTGCGTCAACTCCGCTGGGTATAGCTCTGTCCAGCGCATCAAGCTTAATCGCTCCGCGAGGTTCCTGGGGCCCGAACCCCCCAAAACTTGGAGACGCCAGAGGGTCGGAGCTGGACAGGCCCAGATAAGATCGGTCAAGATGGGGGGCGTTGCAAGCAAATACGCTCAACATCGGTCCTTGGACATCTCTCGGGGTCCAAACGCACCAACTTTCCGATTTGCGTTTGGCCGTGACGACGAGAGGGCTCCTTTCTCCGCCCTTCTTCTGCTGGCCATAGCCAAGGCTGGGCCACCTCAGACCCTCAGCCGGCTCCAACCCCCCACTGGGCAAGTCACGCACATCACATCTTGTGGTCCTCTCCGATCGACCCAGCACGCCGCCTCAGGCTGGGCCTGGCCGCGGCCACGGCCGACGAGGCACGGCCAGCCGTCAGGAGGAAGCCAGGACCAGCTTCAGGCAAGTAGTGTGAGCTGGGGGAGGGGAGGGAGGATGCGGACGGGGAAGAGAGGAAGACCTGCACCCCTTGTGCAAGCGCGGCGGCATGCGGGATGAGACAACTGGCGGAAATTAATGCGAAATGACACTGCCAGATCTCGGTCAATACGCCCGGCCGGCCGGCGATGGCCGCACCTGATACATCTGAGCGACGGCGACCATGGCCACAACAGACCGAGGGGAACCTGCCAGAGCTGGGCAGCATCGAAAGGTCAGCAAGTCAGCAGCGACCGTTGTCTTCAGCCCCAGCTGTGCCTCTCGGCGAGGAAAAACAAGGTCCTGGTGGGAACGGATCCCAGGCCCGAGGGTTTCTGTGCACGTCCGGGGTTGGGGCGGAAAAGATGGGTACGATGCCCAACAATAGTGTCTGTTCATGTGGAACAAGATTTGCTGTCCTTCGAGGCCCATCGGACAACACACCTAGTCATCACGACAACGATTCTTGTCCAATTGGTCAACAAGTGCTGCCACATTGACAAACAATGCTGTCACAAATGACTAGATTTGTCTGATGGGCCTCGAAGGACAGCACATCTGTTTCCAGATGAACAAGCGCTGCTGTTGGGCATCGTACCCGTATTTCTTGTTCCCATTCTGGACACGCAGAACTTTCCCCGGGACGCATTGTTCATCCCCGCTCGTTTGAGGACGACGGTCCTGGGCCCGTTGCGTCGAGCCCCAGAGGTTTCAACCCTTTCCCCGCTGGTTTTTCATCCGTCGGTTTTTGATGGTCCCAGGGCCTGGCGAGGGCCCCCAGATGCTAAAAAAATGGCAAAAACCCTCAGCCGCGATTTTTTGACGACCCGAGGGGGTCTGGGTTCAGGGGGCCCCGAGGCCTTCAAAGTCCGCCGGGCCGCGCCGTGCCGAAGGGAGGCCTCCTGCGCGGTGGCGAGCGCCGCGGCGCCCAGGCCGAAGGGCAGGGTGGCGGCCAGCTTCGCGTTGGCGGCCACCGCCTCCTCGAACGACCAGCCGCTGCTGGCAAGGGGGGGGAGGCCACCGCCGCTGGTCGGCGGCGAGCCCAGGAGGCAAGTCAGAGGGGGTGGGCCTTCTCAGAGAGCTCGGAAGGCCTCGGGACTTCAGAGAAATTTTCAGAGCCTTCCCCGAAGGCACAAGACACTTCTCAGGAGGCCGGGGGGCTTCCGAGAAGCCCAGGGCCGCCTTCTGGGAAGGCCTGCTCCCTCTCCCTTGCCCTCTGGGCGCGCCGCCGAGCTGTGGCTCCCCTTGCTGTGCTCTCCCTCCTCGGAGCTCCCAGAAGGAGCGACGAAAAGAAACCGGTCTTACGCGAAAAGACAAGGCGTCCTTACGCCGCGGCTTACGCGGGCCGCCAACGTGGCGCACCGCGTGGAGAAGAGGGCGCTTACGCGCAACATTACGCGCGAATGTCCACGCAATCGACACCGTCTTCGTCCATCGCCCAGGCGGGGCCGGAGCAGATGGTCGCGCCGCATCGCCGATGCATCAACGATGCGGCGCGGTCTGGAACCCATTCTTTTCCATCCCGCCGCTGCCGATGCATCGGCAACACGGCGATCCTCCGACCCGATACACTCAAGCCCAGATTTTCGTGGGCGACAAACATTCCCCTATCCGCGGCCTCGCGGGCCAAGCTCCTGGGTCACGACCCCGCGGACACGGGGCGTTTTTTCGCGGATGCCCCGCGCGGAACGTATCCTTGCGACCGCGTATCCGCGCCCCCGAATCCAGACCGCGAGGGCGCAGATACGGATATGTTCGCCGCCCACGAATTTGGGAGGCGTGGATGCTCCTCCTCCTTCCCCACCGTCTTTGGATTCGTGCCCTGGAGGGCAGGAAGAACCCACAAGGAAGGCGCAATCGACTGTCCGCCCCATCGGCTGCGGCACTCCCCCAGCTGCCACGGTCGTGCGCCTTGGTTTCGTGGGGGACCGCCGGCCCAGGTCAGCGGTAACCCAAGTGAGCGACGAGCTCAAAGCGGGTCTTACGCAAGAGGGCATAGCGACCGTTGCACGCGGCGTCTTGCGCGTTCCGCCAACGCGGCACACCGCGTGGAGAAGAAGGCGCTGACGCGCGACCTTACGCCGGCAGCCTGCGCGCGCATTCCGCGCAGTCGACCCGTGTTTCTCCGTCGCCCAAGTGGTTGCACGAAGGATTGCAATCCTTCGATTTTTGCAATCCTTCGTTTTTTTGCAATCCTTCGTTTTTTGCAATCCTTCGATCATCGACTCCTGACAAAAAAACACGACTGCCCATGTTGGATATGAGCTGGCAACTCGGTGGTGCTGCATCGCAGAGCGGTGGGGCGGGGGCGGGCTGGAAAGGGGCCTTGACAGAGGCCTTGGCCCCATTTGATCGCCGCGGCGACCTCCCAAACCGACCCAGAGCTTTGGTTTGGGGTCGGAGATTACGCAACGACCATGGCAACCGAGGCCATGTCGCGAACCCTGGCGTGCCACGCGCTAGCTGCCAATCCCGGGCCTGCGGAGGCAAACGAAAAGGGGCCCGCTCCACATGGCTCCCCTACCCAAGTCTGCCAGAGGTGATCGGAGGGGACCGGCTGGCCGCCGTCAACGATCCTCGGCTACATGCAGGAGGGACCCTGCTGCCAAGAGTGTCCTTTGGTGCGCGGCTTCCGGGGGCCGCGAGGGGGGGGTGGGGGAATCTAGGCGCGCAAGCCTCTGCTGGGGGGTCGCCTGTGTGCCCCGCTTCTCAATGCGGCGGCGAGGTGACGGCACCGTCGCGCGGCGCTACGCCGGGACACGCTGAGGCAAACTCTCAGCCGGCGTAGCAGAGGGGTGGGTTGGATGGTGGCAGTCGCATGCAGAACAACGCGGTGACGCGCATGCACGTGGGAGATGCCGTTGCGGCCATCCCGTTGGCTCGGTACAGCGGGGTCTGGTCGCGATGGCGTCGGCGGTGTTTTCCAACACCGCGTTCTGCGGCAACTCATGGGAGCCTCCCATGTCATCCTGCCGTCTCTTGCAAATCGATGCCGACCGACGCTAACCGACGGTCATCGACGCCAATTGACGCCAACTCGACGTTAAATCGGCGCTAATCGGCGCTAAATCGGCGCTTTCTCATCGATTGCCAGACACTAGCGCATGCTAGTGCGCTCTGCAGAAGGAATTCAGAACACATACGTATCGTCGGTGGGTCGCGCTCCTCTGCTTCGCTCTTCCGCTGCGACCCCCCAATACGGCGGGATCACGTCGGGATGACGTCGGCGTTGGCTTCCGACACCGCGTGCGTCGTGCCCCGAACTTCTCTTCCTCTGCGGCCGCTGCTCGCCTTCTCGTCGCCACTGTGCTTAATTTGAGGTTCATGACAGCCCTGCTTTTTCGACCGACTCGCGCGACCGCCGAATCTGCGGCAAAAAGATGTCGAGCCCCCACTGGGTCGTCGCCGGGGCCACGGGTCCCGCCACGGCGCGCGCCAGCACCCTGCCCCTGTGCGACGCGAAGCGGGCCACGTGGGCATTGCGTCTGCTCTGCGGCTTGTCTCGAGCAGCCTCGTGCCGTGACGGCTGCTGCGTTGGCGTCTGACACTGCCCGTGCCGCCCGACCTTTGGCGACCGCTCGGTGTCGGCCCACTCCGGGCCACTGGCAGCGCTCCACCTCGAGCGCCCGCCCTGACGTCGACGCTGCGCGGGCCCGCCGTGCCATCGTCCTGCGACTCGTCCGCAAGAAAGCCCACATGCCCGACACCAAGTGAAGTCCGACACGTTTGTGCCACATCGAATCCGACTCTGTATCAGCCCGTCGGGGGTTGGACCCGTTCGTGACCGTGCCCTGGTTTTATTCTCGCGCGGTCCTTTGCTTTTCCTTCCTCTATCGAACAGAGGGGGAAATCATCAGTTGGTCTAGCTGTTGGGCCTCGACGGGGACTAATCCCAATAATCAACTTACGCGCACCCAACGGCACATTAGCATGGGAAAACGAGATCGCCATTGTGGTAATACGTTTGCACAGCGGCTGTCCAATCACTCATTGACCCGTGGCCGCTGCAACACATTCAAACTAATTATCTGCGCCGCCAGCTGCTACAAACGCATGCTTGCAGACATCTTTTGCCCATCTGACATGTCTGGATGAAGAGGGGCGATCTAAGACACTCGCAGTTCTGAGGGGAAACAATGCAATCATCTTGGTACCATGGGGAATGCAGAACAAAAAAACGAACAAAATTTCCTGGTCATGGCGAACCTCGGCCACGAATAAGTTCCGAGACCCAAGTCCACGAAGCGGCCCGAAACCGGAATTCCCCCCGAACCCGAGATGGTTCTTATTTCGGCGTCTCGACTGGATGGGTGCAAGAAGTCTAATGGTTTCCGGTGCCTGAGGCCACCTGTGCGCTCTTTATTGGCGTAGACTCTCCGCGGCTGAGGCCTCCCCCTTTTCCTCTTCTGCGGCCGCTCTCTTCCTCTCCGCCTGCCTGACTGTGCCAACAGCGCGGCGCGCCCCGCCGTCTAGCGAACACCTCAACGACCGCTAACGTTGCGGACCCAACCATGTATGGGTGCAAACGGAGACGCGCGCATCCGTCAGTGCTGCGGACGAACGGCCGCGGAAACCGCAGGCTGTCGAGGCCACTTGCGTTATGTGGCGGCGAAAGCTGTGGCAGTCCCCCTTGGTCCCGTCCCCCCCCCTTCCTCCCTCAAACTACAACTTGCTGGAGAAAGGTACGAGGAGGAAATCAAAGCCGTCCACGGGGCAACACACACGCGAACACTTGCCGAAACAACATCAGAACCGAAACGGACCGAAACCGGAAGGCCGCGAACAGCCCAAAGGGGCACAGCGGTGCAACCGCGACAACAACAACAACAACAACAACCGACTGAGCCGAACCAGCCAAACGCAACCGACTGCGACACAGCCGAGCTGACTTAATCGCGGACGCCGCTGGCAAAGGGGAGGGAGACACTCCCCGCTGTTCCCGCCACACCTGGCCGCCAAGAATCTGCCTGGCTCGGGTGCTCCTGGCTGCGCCTGCGGAGCCCAACTGCCCTGAATGATGTCTGGCTCAATTGCTTCAGGCTGTTCCTCCCGTCGTCCGCTGTCTCGCTGTCTGCTTGTGGTTTCCGTGCGTCTGCCTCATGGTGTCTTTGTGTGTGTATATGTGTGTTTGGTGGTCTGGTTGCACTGCACTGCTCCCCTGTTCTTATCTCTCCTTCGCCCTGTGCCCAATCGCTGTCGGCGACCCGCGCTCCTCTCAGGCTCCCACCATCCTTGCAGAAATTTGCTCTGCCGTCCTTGCATTGGTTGCTTCTCTGTCTCTCGTCGTTCCTCGTACTGCGCCTCCTCTTTCTGGAGCTTTGTCCCTTCCACCAGATGCACCCTCGCTGCCTATGCTCGGGTATGCCGATGGCTGGTCGACCAAATACGGGCCCCTTACGCTCTAAGCGGCCCCCCGCGCGCGCGCGCCCGCCCGTTCGGTGACATTCTCCGCCCCGACGCTGCGCGCGAGGCCGCGGCCGCCAGAAACTGTGTGTGTGCGTGTGTGTGTGCGTGAGTATGTATGTGTGTGTGTGTGTGTGTGTCCGTAGCCCTTTTGGCTCAAGCCTTGGCTCGAGGCTGCTCTGGCGCGAGGTGGCTGGCGAAGCCTCGGGCCCCGCCCGGCGCCTCGGGCGGGCGATGGAGACGCCGGCGGCTCGCCGGCGGCGCCTGCATCGCGGGCCGCCGCCTCCGCCGCCGGAGCTGCGGCGGCCGCGGACGCCGCTGGCGCTTCCGGCGCCGCGGGCGCCGCCGGTGCTGCGGGCGTCTGTGGCGCTACGGTGGCGCTGCGGGCGCCGCTGGCGCCGTCGGCGCCCCAGCCGCGGCGGAGGCCGCCGGCGCGCCGAGGGGGCCGCGGCCGAGGCGGCCTCCGCCGCGGCTGGGGCCGCTGGCGCCGCGCGCGGGTTCGCGGGCGCGCCGCCTGGCTTGGCGCCCTGCACGTCGCAGGACCGGTCTGCTGGTACTGCTGCCGCGGCGGGTGTCTCCGGCTGGAAAGTGCCGACTCCTGGCGATGCGGCAGAGAAGCAGAAGAGGTTGGCAGTGGAGATTGCCAGTGGTCGCCTTGCCATGATGGCCATCGCCACCCTGTTCTTCCAGGACCCGACCCTCACGGAGCCGGCGGCTACGGACTGGAGACCAATCAGCGTGCTGAGTGGGATTTACAGAATATGGAGTGCGGCAAGATTTCAAGATTGTCTCCCATGGCAAGAGGAATGGGCCCCGGACAATATGTATGGCTGCAGGCCGGGTCGAAGTGCGGAGGCTATGGCGATGAGCGTCGCTATAGATATGGAGGCTGTGGCGTACGGTGCAGGAGGTTACGTGGGTGGCCTCAGCTACGATTTCAAAAAGCCTTTCGATCTTATCCCTATGGAGATCGCACTGCAGCTGCTGGAATGCAGGGGGATGCATCAATAGTTACTGGGACCGTTACGGGGCATGTGCAACGGACTGCGGAGAGTATTCCGATTGAAAAGATCGGTCGGGGATTGGTTTGAAGCCCATAACGGTATTGTACAAGGCGATGCGCTGAGTATGGTAGCATTAAACAATATTGTTACATGTATTTTGGAAGCAGCTGGTGCAACTAAAAAGGATACCACAACAGACAGATCGTACGCTGATGATCTTCTGTGACGGTGGCACAAATGAAAGAGGGAGTACGGGAAGGGATACGTGGGTTCCACAGTGTAGTGCGTGCGTACTGTGCCGCTGGAGGTGGGGAACTAAATATGAAGAAGTGTTTTATCCTTGGGGACGTCTGTGCGAAAAGGGTCCTTGGCGAGGACGTGCAACACCTGGCAGAATTTCGCATTGTAGGCGGGTCTCTGGTTGCACGTTCAGGGGCCACTACCCCTACCGAGCTGGAAACTAAGCGTCTGGAGAAGTGGAAACTTACAGCTGGACGCGTGCGCATGGTACCCAAACCATGGGCGGACCGTGCACGGATGCTTCGGGCTACCCAGGCTCAGGCGTTTTTCTGTCAAGGCACACACTGTCTTGTCAGTGATGTTTCGGCGCTCCGTAAAGTCAGGACGGTGGTCATGCAAGCTCTGTGGAAAACGGACAACTATTCCATGAGCCGGGCAATTACTTTCGCCAAATTAGCTCCGGTCCATCTCGACCCGGAATTTGCGGCAATGTACGAAGGGCTACGGACGGTTATGCGCACCATGCGGAACCCGGAGGTGGCAGCATTTATGCGTACACGGTTTTGGGCAAGTACCTACCGCCAGGCGAGACGGACCTGTGACGAGGCTTCAGGTGCTGAGTCGATCGCAAGCTTTTGGACCAGCGGTTCAGCAATTGATGGATGGGAACGTGAGGGACGAGGAGGAGGAATTATGGCTGCATACGTTGAGGGATGCATGGAGGAGTATGTTGTGGCACCGAGTGGTCAAAGACAGGGGTCATCAATATCGAGGGGCATTGGAGGTCGACAGGCAGAGGACAATGGCGCTCCACGACGAATTACGGCAGGCGGCGGAGGGCAGAAACGACCCACCAGGAACGGCAAATTATGTGGAGTGGGGAGAGTAGCAGGCGGATGAGGAGTGCCAAGTGATCGATGCAGCCATAGAAGCGAGAATCAAAATGGGCGTGATGAGGCGCATCTTGGCGGGTGGTTTGTTGACTAACGAAAGGATGGCAAGACGCCGAAAAGACGGTTGGACTACGGAGTGATATTGTGGAGCGAAAGAAACAATCGTCGAGCATGTAACATGGGACTGCCCTGGGTGCTAGTCGGAACGGAAGGCGTTATTAAATATTGTGCCGGATCCAACCACATTGGATACTTGCACCCCTTATGCTGGTATTATCCCGGTGCCCGCTCAGCGTTACACACAGGTGAAGAGGTTACACGAATTTATGATTGGTGTGTGGCGCGCTCAGATACGGTTATGGTATGGAACGGAGGATGTGGTTGCGACGAAGACGACTGCTGAGGGCAAGGGCGACCACGCACATATTCAAGAAAACGGTCACCATCTGGAACCACGTGAAGGGGCCAAGGGACTCTGGTGCAGAACATGCGGACGCTACGTTACGAGAGTGCAACATGTGCGCCTTAAGATTACTAGCAAGAGGTGCCCATATGCAGACCTGCCCCCGGAGAAGTGGATGCACGACTGGATGAGGCAGAACGTGATATGAATACAACATACAATAAAAAGGGGGACATAGTTTGACGTGGAGCCGCAATTTGGGAAAAATTGCAGGTGCCCCGGATGAAGGCATTGTAACATGTACGGTATGTGGGAAACAGTGGAGATGGCGGGACAGAGTCAACAATCTACCACGCACGGTATGCGTAAGACCATCGAGCAATTCTGCTGGGGAGGGAGGCGGAGGAAGCGGAGGAGGAGGCGGAGGGGGTCTTACACAGGACACTGGTGGGACAGCCCGGGCATCGACATCCGGAAATGCTGGACGATCGGCGGGCGGCGGCAGAGGTGGAGGCCGAGGAGGAGGAGGAGGAGGTAGAGCAGCAACCACAGCGACAGCATTGCCAGGAGGAGGTAGAGGTGGAGGAGGAACAGCAGCAGCAGCAGCGACAGCATAGCAGCCAGGAGCAGGTGGAGGACGAGGAGGAGTCACAGCAATACCCAAGACGAGATCTACAAGACAGCCGGCGGCCTAACGGCAGCATGCGAAGACTGGGAGGGGATTTACACGGCCCAGACAGGGGGAGGGGTGATGTTTGCAACAGCTACGAGCCTTGTGGCTGCGCGCCGTACTGCTCAAGCAAATACCAACTTCTGGGATCGCGCTGGGTTCGCAATGGGCGGCAGCACGGATAGCTTCGCCCGGAGGCGCCGGGCAGAGCTGAAGCACGGCCTCGTGAACATGTTGGTGTCTATGGGCTGCATCACCCCAAACGTCAGCGTCCGTCTGCCCATTTGCCTATTGCCGTCCGCAGGCCTGAAGGTCGCTGACATCCTGAGCGGAGTCGGCGCCATCTCCAATGTTTTCGCAGCGGCAGAGGGCAGCAAGTGGCAGCAAGTGGCAGCTGACAGAGGACGGCCGCGTTCTCTCCCACCTGGAGGTGGAGGCCCAGAAGGAGGTGAAAAAGGAGGGGGTCAATGAGTAGGTCGATGACACGACGAAAGACGTGGAGGCCAGGGAGGGCTTCGACGACAAGATCGTCGAGGAGATGACGGACGAGATGGTGGTTGCGCCTGGAGTGGCTGCAATCTGCGTGGCAATGGCACCCGCGACCCCAGCCGGCACAACGCCACTTTCCTCTGCTGCTTCCTCCGCTATGCGCCGTCATCTTTGTGCTCACAAGCGCAAGAAACAACACCATCACGGTGCCCCTAAAACGGCCATGTATTGTCCACCCCGACAGCGCGTGGCCCCCGACAGCCTTCGGCCACAATTTTGACACAGGTAATTGCACGGGTTAGGTGCCCCCAGACCGGCATCTTGTCCACCCCGACAGCGCGTGGCCTCCACCGCCGCAGCCAAGGCCACCCGCCGGTCTGCTGCAGCGCTGGCGCTGGGCCGCCTGGCCCCGACGTCTCGCCTGCTGGGGTCTCCCCGCAGGCGGGGCGCTCCTCCTCCTCCTCCTCCTCCTCCTCCTCCTCCTCCTCCTCCTCCCTGTGCCCTTCCCCCGTTTTCGCCCTTCACCTTTCTCCCCCTCCCTCCGCGCGCCGACATGGCTCTCGCGAGGCTGCCGCAGCTTGCAGCCTCCCCGTGTGGTTGGGCACCTGGGCTTGGTCTTGCCGCCCGCATCCATTTCCACGGGCCCAACATTTTTATGGTTACAGTCCAAACCTAGACTGCTCGCGAACTTGCCGTACCTTGTCACGTGCCACCCACCTGGGCGGACTTGCGGCCCTCTGTCGTCCAATTACTTCGCCTACATCGGCAACCTCACTGCAATATCTGCTTTCCGGGCACTGGGCCCCGTCTTCGCCCGTGGGTGCCCCAGAGTCGCGGCCCGTCAGCTGCCATGGATCCCGCTGACGGGGCCAGCCGTGCCAGCACACTCAGATGAGAACTCTTCCACCTCTGAGTGGCCTTTTCTTCCCCTCCCTTCCGCGGCCGCCTCGTCTGTCCTCTCCTCGCTCTTGCACGCTGGCCAGTTCGTTTATCGGTGCCCCTGTTTAGCTCTATCGCTGGTGCAGCCAATTCTGCCTCGCCGCAGACGAAAAGTGTGTGTGTGTGTGTGTGTGTGTGGGTGTGTTGGGGGACGGTCCCCCGCCGCGTGAGCTGGTCAGGCCGCGCGCTTGCCCTCGCTCGACTGTCTGCGCCGAGCCGCCGCGCGCGTGGCCGCAACGCCAACACATGTGTGGATGTGTGGAGAACGGACGCTGGCAGAGCAAGGTCTATTTAACAAACAAGCGCCACCCTGAACACTTGTTCTAACCCACTGTCTTGCAAACGATGTTGTTCAAATTCTGAACCGGATGGAGAGAGCCGCGCCAGGGAGCCTCTCTCCGAAAGTCTCTTCGTTCATGTCGTCGAAGCCAGACTCCTTCGAGAGGCGCTCCTGGCCCCCCCCGGCCGAAACGGCGCGCGCACGCGCACGACCGAGCATTGGCTTCTCGCCGATGGAGGCAGGGAACCGCGCTAGCACTTCTATTGAAGATCCCCCTCCCTCCCTCCCCAGGTGGCCGCATTGGCGGCTGGGGAGCGCGCGCAGCAAGTGACGCTTACCTTCGAACCCCGGTCACCACCCAGGCAAATACCGGCAGTGTCGGCGCCATCGCACAAGTACTAAAAAACATCATTGCACTCTTCCTCCCTCCTAAGGGGAGACATTCGGCGGGGACTTGCTCACAGGGGGAAGGCATCGAGCCGGAATCGGCGATGCGCCGCCGATGCGCCAGCGACAGGCCCCCTATCGGCGATGAGTGGTCGATTGGGAATCCACGCGTTCCTCCTGAACCAATCCTCCGTCGTCGCCGTCGTGTCGCCGTCGTGTCGTCGTCGTGCCTGCTCTCTTCTGGGACGTAGCCCCTAATGCTGCGAGGCGCCAAGAGCCATCACCAAGGACGCACTCGCCCAACCACGTGCATGTGCCTACCAGTCCTCCAGACCCACCCCACGATTCGAACGTTCGCGCAATGCGTACTTTCGAAACCAGCATGCATGCACGTGCACGTCCTTTCTTCCGTTGCTGACGAACCAGCTCTTCCGTCTCCTCCTCGATCAATCCGCCGCCTCCTCGACATCCTCCTCCGCCGCCGCCGAGCCGTCGCACGGCTGCTGCTGCTCCTGCACCCTCTGTTGCCCTGCTCTATCGCTCCTGGCCCCCAAGGCTGGAGGCGTGCACATTGGCACCAACACCATGACAGGGGGGTGTCTCCACTGGGGGAAGATGGTTTTAGATTTGGGTGATGGTGGTACTGTGTTGGACACTCAATAGCCCGAAAATTCGCCGGCCCAACGGGCCAGGGCGTGCTAAGATCTCCGGTACCTGGTTAACAGTATTTCTAGTTCGCGCGCGCGGGGCGGCCCCTGGGGGTCCCCGGCAAGGTCGGGTCAGAGATGCCGGAGTTCTGTTTCGGAGTCCAAGAGGGCTCCAGATCGGTCCAAGAGGGCCCCGAGAAGCTTTCTAGACGGTCCGAGAGAGGCCCGAGACGGCCAAAGATCGCCCGAAGACGCCCCAGATGGCCCCAAGACAGCCCAAGAGGCCTCCAAGACGCTCCAAGGGCCTTCCAAGAGGCCTCCGAAGAGGGCCCCAAGTTGCCAAAATCGTTGATTTTCATTTGTTTTTTCGATGTTTTTTTGCGTTCTGGCCTTTTCGCTTCCGGACGCTCCAAGAGGGCCCAAGAGGCCTTCAAGACTGCTCCAAGACGGCCCACGAGGCTCCCAAGACGGCCCCGGAGCGGCCCAAGAGCGCCCCCCAGACGGCCCAAGTGCTGCCCAAGGCGGACCAAGAGGCCCCAAGACGGGCCCAAGAGGGGCTCAAGAAGGGAACCGAGAACTGAAAAATCGAGCCCTCCGCCCCAGAAGGCGCCCAGGACCCCGAAAGAGGCCCCAAAAGACTCTCCAAGACACCCCCAAGACGCCCCAATAAGCTCCCGTGAGGCCCCAAGAGGACCAACAACGTCAGGCCCCAGGCCCCAAGAGGACCAATAAATACCGCCAAGAGCCAGCCGAAAGCCCCCCAAGAGACCGTCACGAGAGCTCAGGAGGCCCCCTGGAGGCCTCCCGAGTTCTCCAAGAGCCCTAAAAAGAGGCGCCAAGAGGCCCCAAACGGCCCCACCGAGGCTCCAAGAGGCCACGAACGCGCAAGCAAACGCCTGCGATGGCACAGTGCGGGCCGGCGGAATGAGCGAAACGATTAATAACCACCATCACCGAAATAAGGATCATGTTTCCTAGATGAAGGCAACCACCGATATTGGTGTTGATGGCAACCTCTTGGCCTCCGACAGACAAGACAGGACAAGAGCGCGCTGAGTCCGCCGGACGGCTGGCGGGCCCCTTAAGAGCAGCGCGGGTGGGCCGGAGCCCGGTTATTGCATGTGGTGGAGGAAGGCGTCTTCCCAGCTGTCCCGTAATTTCTGGTCACTAACCAATGTTCGGTGATACTCCCAGTGGTAATTTGAATGAACTGTGATATGTCGTGGCGCCACCGCTTGCGTTGTCATGCATGTCTGCGCTGTGCTATTCGATTGTCGTGGACTTCCAGCTCCCACGCTGCCGCAAGCCTTGTCCATCGAAGGTTCGAGTGTGTTGCCACTCGCTTTGCCCACCGCCATTTTCGTCTGTAATATACTGTTGTCCACTCGTCCACGTGCGAGCGGGCAGCGAGATCTGTAGCCGCATGTATGGCTCTGCGAATGAACTCCTCCCATGACTCGATTCCTGTATCGTCTTCGACGTCGTCGAACTCGAATTCCTTTCCTGCGTCGATCGTGCTGTCGCTGGTGTCATCGTCGGTGCGGGGGGCAGGGTTGGACTGGGCGTCGTCGTCGGCTGCTGCGTTCTGTTGGGTGCTCTCCCGTCGCCTCGGAATGTTCACAATGAGTCGTAGTATACGTCGCTGTGCACGTAATGTCAAGAACAGTCCACGAAACGCAGCCGTACATAACTGTTGGTATTACGGCCCCGCTGAATAGCCGGAGCCTGCTGTGGAGCGGGTACCGCTTGCTCGTTCAATCGTCGCGCAATTGGTTGAACTTGCGCCATGCCATTGCGATTCTGTTGGCGAACTCGGTGTGGTGGTAGTCGTGGAATGTAAGCTTCCGGCCGAGGTACTTCGTGCTGTGTTCGTCGCTGAGTATTTCGACTCTGTCGCCGTCGATGTCAACGTGAGTAATCGTTCGCCCCTGTCGCCGGCTTATATTCGTGAGGATGTTCGTCTTGTCTGGGTGTCTATCAAGCCCACATGTTGACGCTGTTTGTTTGAGATCACGAAGAGTACATTTCAATTGTTTCAGGTTGGGTGCGAGTAGTAGGACGTCGTCTGCAAAGCGCAAGTTGGTAAGAAGCGTCGGTTTGGTATGTCCCAATTTAATGCCAAAGCCCTTTCGTGTCCAGACTGCGCAAAAAAAAGGCACCGCAACATCAACTCCTCTTGGACAGTCGGACTCATGACTCGGGCTTAGCCAGGCTTCAAAGTCCTCGCCCGTGCAAATTGTATTGTCCGATGTGTGTCGCATGCTTGCTAGGCGCTCAGCGATGGCCAAGTGATCTATCCTTCTTTCAAGCGTCGTTGTATGCCTCGAGTTCTGCAGAATGGCACGGCGCGACCTGTGTGCCCAGGTGGGAAAGATGCCCCCTTCGCTCCACACGTAATTTGTGTTCACAAATCAAGCCAGCAACGACCCTATGGTTGACAAGCGGGGTTCAACGGCTGGTGCGTTGCCGACCTTGTGCAGAGGGCCGAACCTCGACATTCGCCCCCATTTCGAATTGCTCCTGGAAGATGGTGTTGAAGCCTGCGGGTGATGCCGAGCTCATCTCGGTGTTCTTTCCCATCCATGGCACGAATTCGACAGATCTGTTTGCCAGCCGTCTCGGCAATTGCCTGGAAATCGTTTAGAACAGCCCATGACTTTGCGCGCGGGGGGTACGTATGCACGCCTTCAACCGCCGACTCTCCTGCGCACACGGACGCCGTCAGCGTGGTCTGCCTCGTTCCCGATGCTGGAGGGGGGCAAGGCTGTGCCAGTGCATTCGATACCATGGTGTCTGGCCCTTCTGTGGAGCACGAGAATACGATTAATGGTCTCCTCTACCAGCAGTCGTTCGTTGTGTGGGTGCAGCTCAGGCATGCTCCTCTCGCGTGAAACTCTCGACCGCGTTCAACGCGTGATCCAGTCAGAGTTCGAGAATTTGGCATCATGGTGTCCATCATCCAAGGCGATATGCAACAATTCGACAATCTCAATGTCGGGTTACCTGCCTGCTCTTACGTTTTGTCCACAAGCACTATGACAAGATGAACACCATTCCCTTCACACCGCAAACCAAATGTGTAGATCCGATCTAAATGGCTATTGTAAACCCACGGGGGCCACCACAATCCGTAAATGTTCAACTAGATCCGCTCTCACTTGTGGTTCGCGGTGCAATGGCATGGTTCTGGGAAAGTTGCCACCTCACTTCCAACCTTGCAACGTTCCAGTGGTTGCCCTGCACGCGCTACCATAACAGAGTATGTAAAGTTACCGGGTGGTAGATGCATGCTTTTCGCGATGACAGCTGTTACTTCGATCGCTATGCTGGACATTTTGGAAATGCATTGGGCCAGAACTACTACATCGACAATGCTGGTCATTTTCCTCAATTTCCTCCCCCCTTCATTACTTCCCTTCCCTTTCCCCTCCCATTGCCCCCATCCCCTCGTTCGCCCTTCGCATGCCCCCTCCGCCAGACTTGTCGTCCTGACCCGCCACCTGGTCCAACTGCCGTTGTTCCCCCATCCCCTGCTCTTGCACCACCGACAGAAAACACATAATCTCTGCTACCCCGTGCACCGCAACCCGAATCACACCGCTCCTCCAACTTCCCGATGAGGTACTCGTCGTCGAAGCTCGCGTGGTAGTCGCCAGATGACCACTGGTGCTCCTTCGCGCCGCCCGAATAATGATATGAGGACGGAGCATGTGTTTGCATTGGAGCAGTGGGGTAGGCGCAGCGGGCTAACACAAATGACCAGGTACACTCTCAGCTGCAAGGAGAGGGGGTGAGCCATTGAAGGAAGAGGAGGAGAGGAGACTACGAAGAGGGCGCGGGACCAGGGCCCCCGCGTTGTGCCCTGCTCGGCGAGGGGGCCGAAGAAAAGGAGGAGGAACACTGGAACACATTGAAGGCCCATCATCCGCCCAGAGAAGTATCACTCTCTAGCGCATGCGAAAAACCCTTTTTCACCCCCTTCCAGTATGGCCCAGCGTGGGGCTCGGCGGTATCGGGCCGCCTGTCGCTTGGCCCCTATCTGCGCCGCGAGCTCGGGCGTGCCGCCGATGCAACCGCCCCCCCCTCCCGCGCCCCCACGCCGAGCAAGCGCTGACACGTTGAGGGCCCAATGGGCCTATGCGAACGTCTGCGTACGTGCGTGGAAGCCCGATCATTGTCGTGTCCAGCGTCGCGCCGTTACAGGCCGCGGACGTGCATGCACACGCAAAAACATATGAACATGTGTTTGTGCACTGGCTTGCGCATGAACCCACATTCGTATATATCTATGCATTCCGGTATATATGTGCATAAATTAATGTATACATACATATTCATACATACATATACATATACTTATAGACACATATATATATGTTTTTATATACATCTGCACGTGTATACTTATTTACGCACGCAAACTATGTACATGTACGAACACATGTGTAGTTACGGGCATTTGCTGTGTTACGTGAACTTGCATTTGTATGTGTTTGGGTCGACCGGACCACCTGGTGCTATCAATGTATATATCCTTGCAAGAGCAACTGCACCGTTGTAGGCGTCGCTGTATTGATTATGTGACTCGATGAGCGGCTGGACGCACGTGCAATTTGAACTCGGCGACGTGCACATGACTCGGGGCTTCCATCGTCTGTTATCTGTCACCCTGTGGCAACAACTCCCCTCCCCGATGGTTTTTCCATACTTGAAGCACTCCGGTAACGGAACGGTGAACCACATGACTGAATCTGTAAATTGAATCCTGGAGCACGGTTACATGCCCAAAACTTTCTCGTTGATTCAGCGCGCCCAAAGAATGGAAAACGTTCCTGCTAGGCCTGCCGAAGCCTTTGCTCGGTAGTCTGCACTTCTGCCGGGGTACATCTCACTTGGTGAAACCTTGCTCGTCGGCAAGCCTTTGGAACCTGATCATTGAAACCCCGGATCGTGGTTCTCTCCGCCGGCCGGCCGGAGCGAGCGACTGACAGACGCAAGGGAGGGGGATAAGGAGAAGTGGAGGGGAGTACCCACCGCACCACCACCACCACCACCACCACCAGGCTAGGCACCTGGTTCCTGGGCAGGGGTCCCTTTCCGGCTCTGGACTACTCCGACATAGTGGTCGTCCTCTAGCATCTTCCTGGCGGCAGGTTGGGATCGGTTCTTCAGTCCTGGGTCCTCTCGTTTTTTTGTCTGCTTCTGATCCCTCATCTACTAATATCAACCTTCCACTGGTCATTCTGTCAAACAGCGCTGCGTTGCACTTTGTCACGTCATCTTTTGTCAAGGCATCCGTGGGCATCTGTCCGTTGGGTATCCAACGGACTTTGCCGGATGCTTGTTCTAGTGCTTCGCATACTATTGCCAGATCAATGGCCGTGCGTCTATCTTTGGCACTGGCATTTCCTTCTTTAATCATGGTATCGTAAATCGATTTGGCGTCCACTACATGGATTTGACCTTCTCTAGTTCCAAGACGACAGTCTCGTCGGAGCACTGCAGTAAAACGGCTGGATCGTCTATGGTGGTCACGGATAGTCACGTTTCGGAAAACCACATCGCGGTACATGATCTGAAAGTACTGTTTCGGCCACGGCTGACGAGAGTGCCTGCGTCTCGCCCGCCAATGTTGACGGGGCCTTGCGCCGGAGTTTCGAGCTGCGCCAGCCAACTATGGACGCGCGGACGCACTGGTTATCTTCTATCCTGCGATCGCAGGCGAGCCGCATCCACGCTCCTTGAACAGGATTTTCTGGAAGTCCTCGGGAGTCGTCGGTCCCCAGGCCACCCGCGCCTCCTGCATCAGAGAAGGACGCGAACGACATGTGCTCTACACAAATATACCCCTGCAGGTAGTAGCACGGAAGTGCTTGACCAGCTTGTTGGCCAGACTGACGTCTCCAGTGGTAGCCGCCTTCAGACGGCTAGCGAGGATGCTCGTGGGCCCTGCTGCTTCCGGTCGAGCTTCTCGACCGATCCAGGTGCATTTATATACCAGGGACCTAAGCGACCGAAGCTCTGAGTCCTCGAGGGGGTTGTCTCTGTGTGCGAAACGTCCTTTTGCCAACGATATGGGTCGGATCTCTTCTAATATTATTATCATATATATATATATATATCTATATATATATATATATATATATCCATATTCATAATGGCTCGACATGGTCCGACAGTCTCACGGCGGCCCGTGCAATCGACAGTTCCAGCATGGCAGTCTCGGTACTTATAGAAACGGAAGCGCGACTCGAGGAGACTGCGCAGCGACTTTCTTGTTGCTTCGGATGAATTGGTGATGCAGAGATCGTCGACTTCTAACATGATTATGTTGAGGAGCTCTCCAGACTTACTGTATCCGCACGCACCACCAGCGCGGCTCTAGAAGGGCCCGGGTAAACCAATTTTTCCTAGGAGGCCGACCACAGTGCGACGCCGTGCTGCTGGTGCGTGGCCCAGCCCATGCACGTTCACCTTCAGGCGAATCAGGGACCCCTTCGGCACGTTAACCCCCTCGCGCGGCTCGACGTAGATCCCGCCCTGCGCCCGGACATCTTGTCCGATTGCATGAAAGCGTTCTTATTGTCGGCTATGTCCGCGCGCATCCCTAGGTTCATCATAATCCGGACAAAGAACATTCTGCTCGATGTCTGGGGCGCGGGAGAATGCGCCTGCAAGGGTCCAGCGTCTGGGTCCTTGTGTCCGTGGACGCGCCAGCGCGACTTCGCTTCGGGCTCGGTGAACGCGCCTTCCGCCGGCTTCCATCGGCGGGCCATCCGCTGCTCCTCCCGCGCGACCGCCGCCTGCTCGGGAGGGGTGGCCTCGACGCCTCCGGATCCGCTCGCGCTGTCCCGCTCCTTCTGATCGGAGGCGTCGAACTTAGCTCGGTCCCGGGGTCCAAACTTCCCCAGGCACGCCTCGCCGCCTGGGCTGGCGGCGAACATCGCTCCGTGGCTGTGATCATCTTGACTCGGGGTCCTGGCTTGAGCTCCATGCCCGACCGCCGTGTCTGGGGCCACCGCAGAATCCTCGCTCTCCTCGCTCCTCTCCTCGTCCCCCTGCTCCTCTCGGCCTCGAGGAGGTGGCCGGGGCATCGGGGGCCTACCTCCCTCCGGCGCCCTGACCAGCTCGCCCGCCGCGTGGCGAGGCTGAGCGCCCCGCGTGATGTCTCTTCGGGGCGGCGCCGGTTCCTGCCCGAGGGGCGGGGAAAGAGCGGTGGGCGGGGGGGGATCGGCGCGGGCTCTCTTTACCTCTGGGGGCTCGGTTTGAGCTCGAGTTCTCTGAGCGCGCGTGGGGGAATCGGGCGGCTGAACGAGTCGCCTGGGCCTCTGGGCTCCATGTCCCAGCTCTCCCCCCCTCTCTGGGGCCGGCTCCGCGGCCGCGGGCAGCAGGGGCAGGCCGGGCGGAGAGGGGGGGCCGAGGGCAGGGTCAGCGGGAGAGTCCTCTGGGGAGACATGGCGCCGGCGAAGGCGGATCGATCGCTCCGCTGTCCTGCTCGGCAGCGCTCTCCCTCGCCGGGGCGACAGTGCCTGAGCTGGGAGAGATAGGAGTGACCGATTAACCTTCGCCTCGGCCTCTCCTCCCACCGTTGGTCGTGGGGGCGCGAGTGGCCTCGGGCCCGGCCCGGGCCTCCATTGAGTCTGCCACCGAGGGCGCCGCTTCTGGCGGTGGCATTGGCAGATTGAACGAGCAATATCTGCATGGCAGACCTTGGCAATCGTAGGCTGAGAAATGACAGCTCGAGTTTGAGGCGGCAGACCGAAGCTCTTGATTTCGTTGCCCCGATGCCTTCGGAAAATGATGCCCGACCAGAAAATGTTGAAACCCAAATCCGCTTGAATGCAAGGGTTGATCCTATTCGTCCATCCTGCAATCTTGATAATGGCAGTGCGACCCAAGCAATATGTCGTGAACAACCGGTATCTCGAAGTCGACGAAGAAGCCACAGCTGCGAAACATGCGATCGTCTTCCCTTTGCCGGCCTCTGAGAGACCCCGCTTGACCGGATACTCCTGGCAGACAAGCTGGGTGCATTTTGCATGACCAGGGATCATTTGACCATCGCGAACTAAACCAAGAGTGGGAAGCAGAGACTTGCGCGGGGCCCGCGCCGACGCCTTCTGAGATGTTAAATGTGCAATCCGACTATGCGCTCTAGCTGATCTTATGATCTTGAGAGCTCTCAACTGCAGGGGGCCCACCGAAACGCGTTTTTTCCTCATTGCATTCAGAGCGATATTTTGCTCTCAAGGACTTGATCCAAAACAAGTTCTTCCGCGCATCTTCTGCTTCTCCTGTGCGTGGCCTGCGTGGCCTCAGATCGGTCGGGCCCTGTACTTCCACCGAGTGCGAATCAGGGCGTTCGCCCCGGTCAAAACGGACCAGTTCCGACGCTTCGGGGAAAATCTGGTTGGGAACTTCAGAAATGTTGGGCGGGGGCCCAGAGCAATGGCCTGCGTGGCTGTCTTTTGGAAGTGAATGCCAACGCGTCGCAGCCGATCGACGCGTGGCCCCCCTGGTGTCCCAGCCCGCCACGCGCAGCTATCTGATTGATGACCCCCCGATCCAAAGCAACGTGACCACTGACAGAACAGTCTTGGGCAAGTGCTTGACTCCCGTCAGGTCTCCTGGCATGCGGCGTGTTGGTCTCCGAAAATCTCAAGGGGCCAGCCAAGTTTGAGATTGCAACGCGCGCCGAGGCAGGATTCAAATTTGGGGTCCCCATTTCCTTGATCAGCATGCGCATCCCCCAGCCAGGAAATGCTGGAAACCCTGGGTCGAGCTCTTTCAAGAGCAATGGCAATGCCTAGAGAACCCGCAAAGATATCATGATCAAGATGAGAGAAGAGAAAGGAACAGAGGGGAAGGTGGCAACCTTCGAGACACGCTGGAAGGAGGTCAACACGAACTGACCTCCAATCGCAGATGACATCTGTCACACGTGTTTTGAAAGAGTGATGAATCAGGATACCCATGGCCCTGCGCCCAGGGCCAGGATGATGGCGGAGGGAAGCGTGACCACCCGAGGTAGGAGAGAGTTCCCCATTACCCCCTTAGGGACCGCTCCTAAAGTCCCTAGAAGTGAAATAATACTCCAGCGTTTCAGCTCGAGTAAACCCAAGATATCTTGACTTGCAGCATCATCTGCGCATCTGCCCTGAACGTTCAGAGCGCAGGCGAGCCCCCGTAACATGCTCGTGCCCCCCTCATTTCTTGAGGGCTTCGTCTACCGCCTTGCGAACCGCCTCCTTGTGCTGGGCCGTTGGGGCCCTTTCGAAACAAGCATCATCCCATTTCCACTCCCCTGCAATAACCACCCCGATGATATGATCTTCACCCCAGATCTTGCGAGTGCAGGCGCAAATCGCAAAGAAGTCGGTGTTCCGTTCCATGGCGGTTGTGACGGCGTCTGCCACCGTCTTGAAAAACTTCCCCGGAACCCTTTCCTCCCTCGTGCTGATTTGGCCACGCCTTATCGGCCTGTCCCCATGACCTAAGAAAACCCTCCGGCGGACTGCCTCAGCAGCTTGCATTCCCTCTGCAACCGAGGCCCATTTGATCTCAACACAACTGCCGTCCGAGACCGTAGGGGACGACAGTGTCCACAGGCTGGGCGACCCCCGCTCGACGGATGACATTCCTGGCTTTCTCGAAAGCTTTTGGCTTCTTAAGATTCCAACCCAGATTTGAAAGGATGAAAATGTCCCTCTCTGAACGAGGGTCGCTGGCCCAGGGAGGCCCCCTTTTTCTGAGAAGAGCCCACAACTACAGGAGAGGCCTTGTTAGCTGCAATTTCAGCCCTAATCGCCTTCTGTTTGGTGTCAATCAACTGAATATTATCCCCATAGGCTTTGAAAGTCTCATTCTCGAGTTTGAATGCTTCAGTCTGTGCTGCATTGCTGTTGACACCCTCAGCTACAGTCGAAAGCTTTTGAGCATCATCCGTCTGGAAAGCCTGCATATTGTAAGAGATCGCATCGGACTTTTCTTCAAAAGGAACAACCTTTCTGTCTAGTAGGGCTTCAAATCGTGAAGGAAGTCCCGACTTGTCGGAGGCCGCGGAACCCGAATAACCTAAAGAAGATACGTTTCTCTGAACAGAGCAACATTCGGACCCTTGGCGCCCCCTTTTGAACTGCGAGGCTTTTTGGTGCTGCGTTCAACGTTCTTCTTCTCCACACTGGCAGCCTTACGGGCCCCCAGCTTGGTGATTTCCATTTTGAGAATATCCTGAAAGACCAGTCCCATTTGAAGCGCCATTGTGGAGATCTGAATCAACCCACACTGAAGGAAATCACACCAAAACTTGGAAAAAAGGGCACGACCCAATCTGAACCAGAAAGAAAACTTGAAATAACCGCAACCCAACCTAAGCAATCCGAATGTACGGTAGCGGATTGGCATGAACCAAACTTATGTTGGACTCCTTGCGCCCACTCCTTGAGCCCGCGTGAGCTCGCTTGAGCCCCCTTGAACCAAGAGGAGAGGAGGAGGAGGAAAAGGAGGAGGAGGAGGAAAGGCAAGACAAGCAGGGGTCAGGGAGAGGACGACGACGGGACGAAGGAGCTATGGAAGCGGACGAAAAAGAGACTGTAACGACGAGGGCGACCAAACCTCCTCCTCCTTCGCCTGCTCCTTCTCCTCCTCTTCCTCCTCCTCTTCCTAATCCTCCTCCGAGTTTTCCCGATCCTCTTTGTCCACCTCCTCGCCGTCACTCCTCCTCGCCCTCACCCTCGCCGTCGGCGTCGTTTTCCTCCTCGTCCTCCCTGGCCTCGTCCTGCTCGTCCTGCTCGTCCTCCTCGTCCTCGTCGTCGTCGTCGTCGTCCTCCTCCTCCTCCTCCTCCACAAAAATAGAGGAATAGCGACGGCGGCTCCCCAGCGCTGCCCGAGCTGCTGCTGCTGCAACTGTCGCTCTCGGACGAACGAGCCTGCGTTGGGGCGCGGGGCATAGAGGGGGCTCTCGGGTCGTAAAAGAAGAAACCTCGGCACATACATGAAGTTTCGGACGTCCGAACGGACTTTTTGGATCTGTGCTGGACCCCCGTCCCTGGCCGCGCAGCGTTCTGGGGGCGGCGCTGGAGGTGCCGCCAGCGGCGACCGGCGCAGATCCAACACATCCGTGCGGACTTCTGGAAGTTTATGTTTATCGATTTTTTCCTCGGGGTCGGATGTACAAGGGGGGGTTGATACAAAAGGGGGGTACCGAATCTGATCACGAATCTTCCCACGTAGCGGGCGCTGTGTGCTCTCTGGCAACCCAACCTTTGGTGTGCGCGTTGGCGCTCCCATGCGCTGCGGTGCTGGGAATCCACGCGGTGTCCACAAGCCCTGAAAGGCTCACCGCCCCCGCTGTGCCTGCATGCAGCGGGGTTGCTGAAATAAGGAACACTAAATAACAAACGAAACCGTTTTGGGCCACCACTGGAGCCTGGGTGCACGAGGAGGGTTGGAGGAACAACCACGGAAGGACCTAAGGAACATCGATCCAAATCCGAACGCAAGCTGTTCCCTATTTCAGATCTGTTGTTGTACATTGCAGAGGGCTCAGGTCCTACGGTGCTCGCAAGGGCGGCAGAAAACGGGGAAGGGGAATCGCGCCGCGTCGCGATGCATCGCCGATGTATCAGCGCCGTCGGGATGGAGAAAATCGGGCTCCACATCGAGCCGCATTGCCGACGCATCGGCGCTGCGGCGGAGTCTTCCGACCCCAGTTGCTCCAACCCCATATAGGCGGCCCAGATCGAAGGGGCGGCGATGAAGGGCAGGGAGGTAGGAAGAGGGGTGAAGAGGAGGGGGAGGGGGAGCCGGCTAGATTTTGGGATCGATTTGGCCCGATACGTCTGCGGATGATTAGTCATAGTAAGCAAACGCGTCTCGATAGGAACTGTCTTTTTAAACCTATGTATGTACCCCTGAGACTACTCAGCTTCTAGGGCAGGTCCTCCTGGCGTGTGAAAGAGGTAAGTCTATTACTTCTTTATTCCCAACCATCCTGTGGTGTTGGGTCCGCGTTTTGAAGAGACGGTGCCCGCGTTCCTCCCTCCCTCCTTCCTTCTCCCTCCTCCCCCTCCCCCTTTTTCGTTGCGTTTCACCCATCCAGTACAACGCTTCGTGGCCCATGGGGACCTCCACCGAAGGCGCGAGTGCCACCGTCCGCGCGCGTCCCGAAACACCCAATTTGGCATTTTCACCGAGTGCAGGAGATCAACCGAAAGCTCCAGTGCCACCGCCCGCACGCGCCCCGAAACATCCTATTTGGCATGCTCACCGAAGACCCCAGTGCCGCCGTCCGCACGCGTCCCGAACATCTACTTTGGCATTTTCACAAACCCAGCACAGCGCTTCGTGGCCCCATAGGGAGCTTCACCGAAGGCCCCAGTGCCACCGTCCGCATGCGCTCCGAAACATCATATTATCCCAGTGCGACCCTACCCAGGAGTTGGAACCCCTAGGAAAGCAGCATTAGTAGTAATAGTAACGCTAAGCTAAAGCTAAGCTAAAGCTAAGCTAAAGCTAAGCTAAAGCTAAGCCACGGCTAAGCTAAAGCTAAGCTAAAGCTAAAGCTCCCAGGGGACTGGGGGGAACCGCGGGGCGGGGACTGGGGGAACCGCCCGGGGCGCTTTGCACTGCCCGGCCCCTTTAAGCTAAGAGAGTAAGAACCCTTCTAGGCAGAGCCTAGGTAGGGAATTTGGCATTATCACCCACCCAATGCAACCTTTCGTGGTCCCATAAGGGGCTCCAAGGGGGGGGCGGGGAGAGGGGGTCCAAACGGTGGCGCCAGCAACGTTGCAAACGCATCGGGGTTTAGCAATCGGATCGGGCCCCAGTGAATTCTCCAGTCGGCCGCGCGCACCCTGGAAAAAAGTTTGGCGCGCGGCCCTCGGGGGCCAACCCCAAGCGCGCAAACCCGAGCTGGGGGGTACCTCTGTGTCGGGGGTGGACAGACCCCCTCTAGCAACGGAGCCTGAATTTCGTGAGAAAGACCTGGGAGTGGGCCAGCGGACGCAGGCCCAGAATGCGGCTGCAACGGAGAAAAGGCAACTCGGCAATCGACTTGGCAAAGTGGGGGTTCTATAAACCTCTTATTTCTGGCCCGCACCGAGATTCACTCCGGCGAAGGGCAAATTTAGCCTACAGCCGACACAGCCGGCCCGACCGAGCGCGAGGGCTAGCCCATCGACGGCATACCCTACGCACTGCCCAACTGGGCGGTGACGGACAGCGAAAAAGCCGAGGTGGAGGCCGAGATAGCGAGCGAACAAGCCTCACCGACGACCGCGATTACGGGAGCTACCACCCCCTGGATAAAAAAATGGTGATCAACACTATGGCACGGAACACCCCCTGGGTCTTTGCCAACCGGAAAACAACTCAAGCTTCGACCTTCGATCGATCCCAAGTAACTCCCAGACAGAGTCGTGACCCGAGCGGAGTAACGGCGACGCAGGGGTGGACGAGACGCGCGGTTGTTAGGACACCCCAAAAGAAATCGCCACTCTTTGGCGGCGCGAAAAGCGGTTGGAACATATCCTGCGAGGAATACTCAGGCGATATCGCCGCTCTCACGCGGCATGAAGATGGATCTGTTTTTGTCCTGCGGAAGTCCCGCGCAAAATCGCCACTTTCAGATGCCGCGGCAAATTTTCAGATCGCCCTGGAAGGCGATCTGATTTTGTTGCGGAAGTCTCCGGCGGAATCACATTTCCAGACGCTGACCCCATTTGGCCGTTATAATATTAAGAAAGGTCAGAGATGCATCTGGAATTCCCGACTCGGCCCCGAATCCAACATTGTCCTGGGGCCCCGTGGCCTAATGGGAGGCCATCCGTGTCTTCCTCGATCCCCACGGTCTCCACTTTTTAATCCAGCGGGTTGTAACAGTGCGGCATCGGGGACGACGCCTACGAAACTCCATCCGATTCCCGAAGAGGACCTCTCGGACGGCTGGGAGAAAGTGTCCTCCGGGGCTCTCGAATTCTAGAGACGGCAACGGCATCGCAACATCTGGGGGGATCCAGGCGCATTGCCGTCCCCCCCAAAAAAACAAACACACACAAACACACAAACGCACAAACGCACAAACAAACACACACAAACACACACAAGCACACACAGCACACAACACACACAACGCACAACAAACATTCAACACACATTCAACACACAACACACACAACACACAACACACAACACACAAACACACACACACACAACACACAATACACAACACACACACGCAACACACAAACACAACACACGACACATGCACAACACACGACACGCACAGCACACAACACACAATACACACAACACAACACACACACAACACACAACACACAACACACACAACACGCAACACACGACACACGACACACGACACACAACACACAACACACACAACATACGCAACACACAACACACAACACACAACACACACACTCACACACACACACTCTCACACACACTCTCACACACACTCTCACACACACATTCACACACACACACTCTCTCAAACACACACGCATACACACACGCATACACACACGCATACGCACACGCATATACACATACACACTCGCACTCACACACACACACACTTTTTTGGCGGTCGCGGGCTCCCGCGCAGCGTCGATGCGAAGAACATCACCGGACGGGTGAGCGCGCGCGTGCGGCGGGCCACTCAGAGCGAGCAAAGGTCCATATTGGAGCAACCGTGTCATCCGCATACCTGGGCGTGGGCAGCGAGGGTGCAGAGGGCGGACGGTCGACGCCTGGGCCAAGTGGAGGCACAACACGACGAGCGACGAGAGACGACAAGGACGGCCGAGGCCAGGAAGGCAGCACGCGGCTGCAAACAAATCCACACACACACACGCACACGCACACACACGCACGCACGCACACACGCGCACCGCCAACGCGCAGGGAGGGTCGCGGGCGCGGAGACGAGGCACGCGGGGCGCGAGAGGAGCAGGAGGCGCGGGCGGCCCGTGAGGGCGGAGGGGCGGCGAGGGCGCGGAAGCGCGCAGACGGGCAGAGCCCGCCGCCAGAGTTCGGTGGCACCCCTCTTTCGAACCGACGCTGGCCGACGCTAGATCGACGCCAGATCGACGCCAGATCGATGCCGCATCGACGCCAAATCGGCACTTTCGCATCGATTACCAATCGCTCGCGCAGGCTAGTGCACTCTTGAGACGGGGCTGCGAGGACATACAAGGCTCCCAAGCCGATGACTTGCTAGCGTACGGAGGGGGAGGTCGGCAAATAAAACAAAACTAAAACTGGGCCAACATAGGACGGGGACAGATCGGGGATCTCTGAGATCCTGGGGTTTTGCAGGATGCAGCGGGCGCAACGACCATTCCAGAGCGTTTCAGAACGCTCTGAGAGCGTTCTGGAACGCCCCAAAGCGAGCTATCCGAGTCCCAGCCCCGCCCGAGAGCAGCGCAACGACCAAAGGAGAGGGGCAAACACTGTCGTCCACGGCGACAACACATCCAGAAAACGGCCAGATCGGCAACGAAATCGAAACTGACCGACGGAATCTGCCAGAAACGGCCGAGAAAGAAACAACGACGCGGAAACGAAACAACCGACCCAAGCGAACCGACCGAACGCAACCGACCGCGACGGAGCTGAACCGACCGAACCGCGGACACTCTTGAAAGGGGTGCTGGAATCCGAGGTGGGAGAATACCTCCAACTGAGCCTGTCATGGCCGGCGCCGTCTCTTTACGAAGGGCACTGGCCCAGATGGCACGCTGAGGGAGCGCACAGACAGGGAACTGAGATCGCGTCGAACAATTGCCAACATGGATGCGCACCTTGCCATGTGGAATGCACTGCACATGTTCACGACTGTGAAGAGCGTGCCCTCGTTCAACGTATCGAATCTTGCCGAGCAATTCAGACTAACTGTGCGAACACACGCCGAAACCAATACTGCACAACATGCGAGAGAAATACACGAATCATCAAATAGAATCCTGCGGAACCCGGATGACCGAGAACATGCAGCGGGATGACCCCGTGGATGACCGCCCGATTCTCGCAAAGGCTCTCAGGAGTTCATCCCTGGAAGCAACTTTCTACGTCAACACACTAAGAGCACACTTCCGATCACCTGGCGGACCGCCTGTCTCATACCGTCTCGCTGCCCACATCACAACGGCACACGAACAACCCCCGTTCGGACACGAAATGAGAACATCAACGAGAAACACATGGACACGGAGGACAGGGATATGTAGCTGAAGCATCACCGTACTTATGTGTTTATCACACCCTTGGCTATCCGAAAACAGCGCCCTGAAATTATCTGAGAGGAGCGGCATGAAGGGATGGCGAGAGTTCGGAGAGACGAGAGCGAGGAGGAGAAGCAGGATCAATGTGGAGGAGGGTCGAGAAGCTTGGTGGAGGAAGTGCCTGAGGTCTCTTGAGGCCTCAGCCTGGGGACAAATCAGATCGCCACCATAATCGAAATATGGCGTGCTATCTTTGCTCTGGGGCCCCAAAAAGGGCCCAAGACGGGCCCGAGTGTTCGGCCACATGCGTGTCGAGGCCAGACACCTGAACACTTCACGATGCTGAGATTTATTTGCGGGCTAGTTCCTCTATTGGGGGGCGCCACTACCCCCGCCTTGTGGGCCCAACTGATCCACGATTTAGTCAATTCGAGGTATGCGACGTCAATTTTTTTTTTGCTGAGCTTTCCGTCGACGGTACAGGGCCCGACCACAAGAAACCTTCCACAAGAAACCCAGACTGAGACCCCAAGACGTCCATTGATTTTTGGTGTGGCAAAACCACGGTAACCCAAGACACCCTGGAGGCGAGCAAGGTGTTTCTTGGCATGGGCTCCCAGCCTCAAACAGATCGAGAAACACGCCGCCTGCTGTAGCTGGCGCCTGCCGCGTCGCCGAGCGCCACGCCGGTCGTGGCGCCCCTTGGCCCTTCCTGCTCTATCACCGCCGCAGTCTTGGCGCGCCGCTTGCCAGTTCGGACGTCCGTCTCCTGCCGAAGGGGAGGAGCGGGGGCGGAACGAGGCATGATCATCGAGATCATCGCGCTCCTCATGCTGCAAACGCTCCCTCCCCAAGCTGGCATTCCGCCAAACAGATATGACAATGCGCATGCGGCTCGAACGCATCCAGCTGCAGCCAGCTCGAATTGGGCTGAATGGGCGGGTTTTGAAATTCCTGAGTCGACAGTGAACCGCCCGTTCCTCAACTCAACCAAGTGCTCCGAACTGATACTCCACCACCGTGCCGCAACCACTGTATGGAATTCCCTCAGGCTCCTTGGTCCTCCATTTTGAATGTTCCAGCTGCTTTTCGGGCCAAGCCTCCCGATCTCTGGAATTCCCAGGCGCATTTCGGCACTCCCAGGCGCTGCCAGGGATTCTCGCGCGACCTTTCCAGAGGCCTCCAGAGGTTGGTTGGGAGGTCCACACTTCCCACGTCTCCGACGACGGCCCCAAGGAACAGTCTTGGGGCTCTCGGGGGCCTTGGGGCTGAGATCTCCCAAATCCACCTGTTTTGTTTTGGTTCGACCGTCTAAGGCTGCCCAGCAGGCACAAGATCGCCGCACGACCGCTTCAAAGCCTCCAAGAGGATCCCAAGAGGTCCCAAGACGCCCGGAGAGGGGTCCAATAGGTTGAGGAGGCGACCCCTGGGAGGTCTTCGCAAGAACGAGTAAAGGCTGTTAGGTCCGATTGGGGGGGAATTCAGATAGATTAAGCCAGTTCAAGCCTGGGATCAAGCCTGGGATCAAGCCGAATTTAGCCGTATTGAGCGGGAGTGTGCTGGTTTGCGGCCATGGATGCACCAGCGCCGATGCTCAATTCAACCCCTCAGGCATTGCATGCTCAAGAGGGGGAGCTCGACCTGCCAGTTGAAGCCCTCCACCCCAAACAGCCTTCGAGGCCGCCAGCCGCCCCCCTAAAAAGACCCCAAGAGGTGCACGGAGGCTCCCCAAGAGGCCCTCAGGAGGCATCCGAGAGGCCCTTTTGCAATTACGGGCGACAGGGTGCCTCTGCCCTAGACGCCCTCCCCCGAAGGCGCATAACAGAGTGAAAGGTTGGGAAGAAGCTGAACCAGATCCGTGATTGCGTCTCCAGGCCGACATCCTACGCAGGGCCCGGCAGGGCGGCCTACAGCCAAGGAGGCGCTGCCTGCACCTCCAGGCCCTCGTCAGCGCAAGGCTCTCGATGGACTGAGGCCGAGAAAAATAGTAAGGAAGACATTGACGACCAAGAGCCGCCTAGAGCGTACCCCTGACCTGAACCAACACTCATGGGAGACCGCAGAAACTAAACAGAAAAACCGACTCTACCTATCCAGCTCGGCTCCGAGTCTGACGAGGAGAGGAGGCCTGCGCCGTGGCCCCTCCGCATGTAGCGGCAGCCAGGCGATGGGAGAACGGCCCCCAAGAGACCCCCAATCAAACCAGCCCTTTAGGGCGTGAGTGGTTTAGGGAATTTCCTCTTCCAACCCACTTCTTCCCCTTCGGGGACGGGCTTATCACTGTTCTCTATCGGAGGTTGGGGGGTGAGTCCGACGTGAAACGGAGACCCCCCCCTACCGGGAAATCGATTTCGGTTTCGGGTTCGTGTCGTGCGTGCCGTGCGTGCCGTGCGTGCGTGCGGGCGAGGCGAAGCTGCGTGGGCGGGCGAGAGGAAATCCTCCTGTGGCTGGGCCGCGGCCGGACCAAATGTTTCTCCTCCGGCGGCCGGTGGCCCGCGGTGTCCCGCTGGTGTCCCGCTGGTGTCCCGCTGGTGTCCCGAAATCCTCCTGTGGCTGGGCCGCGGCTGGACCAAATGTTTCTCCTCCGGCGGCCGGTGGCCCGCGGTGTCCCTCCGGTGTCCCGCTGGTGTCCCGTGGTGTCCTGTGGTGTCCCAAAAAGTGAGATCGATAGTGAGATCGACAGGTGTCCCGTGGTGTCTCGTTGAGTGAGATCGATTGTGAGATCGATGTGGTGTCCCGTGGTGTCCCGTTGAGTGAGATCGATCGTGAGATCGATAATGAGACCGATAGTGAGATCGAGGGGTGTTCCGCGGTGTTCCGTGGTGTCCCGTTGAGTGAGATCGATAATGAGATCGACAAGTGCCCCGTGGTGTCCCGTGGTGTCCCGTTGAGTGAGATCGATAGTGAGATCGACAAGTGTCCCGTGGTGTCCCGTTGAGTGAGATCGATAGTGAGATCGATTGAGTCAGATGTTGGTTCCCCCCCTCTCCCCCCCCACAAGCTCCTTATCGCCCGAAGGGTGGTCGTATAGGAAATATACACCTCCTCCCCCAGGCGACCGGCAGCCAACCAGGAACAATGCCGACCACCATGATCACCCCCACCACCCACCCACCATCCCTGACAGAAAACAATACAGAACACATTCGGCCTTCAGCATACCTAGCCAACCTGGTGCGGCCCCCCCCACCATCCTTGGCAACAAACAAAACAAAGTACACGTTGGGGTAAGTCGTGAGGCCCGCGAGCACTTTCTATTGTTTATTGATAAGGACAGCGGGGGTGTCAGCATATTGCCTGCTGTGCGCTGGGCCACCATCCATGTTAAAGCCACCATGCCTGTCAAACAACAATGCAAAATGCACATCGCGGCTAAATCTGGATCATGCGTGGCCACCCCGCGACCACTGTCAAGTGGTTTTTGACGGGGACGGCGGGGATGGTGGCGTATGGTCGGCTGTGCGCAGGCCCACCAGACACAATGATGGGCATTGGTTTTCGACAAGGATGGTGGGTGCTGATATGTCTCCATGTCACGTGCGCAGGCGCACCTGACACACTCTGCACGTGCTCAGAACGTGTCGCACCTGGCGCGGCTGGAGTATGCGGCACACCTGGCGCACGTGGAGCACGTGGCGCATCTGGTGCACCAGGCGTGCCTGGCACATTCGGGCCCCAGGGGTTCCTGGCGCGCGCACATGGGTTCGGTTTTGGCTCCCAGTAGCTGTCTATCCAAAGACGACCGCTGAACATGCTGAGGCTCGGGTGTTACGTTGGGAGGGCGGGTGGGAGTGAGCTAGACGGCTTGCTATCTAAGAGGGCGTCTTGACCCCTCTCCGTACCCCCCACATTGATTCCCCAATTAGGCTTGCCAAAAGGCTTTGTCGGAGGTTGGGGGGTGAGACCGAAATCGAACGGAGAGCCCCCCACGGGGAAATCGGTTTCGGTTTCGTGTTCGTGCGTGCCGTGCGTGCGGGCGAGGCCAAGCTGCGTGGGCGGGCGAGAGGAAAGTCTCCTGTGGCTGAGGCGATGCCAAACCAAATGATTCCCCCCACGGCAAACGGGGCCGCGCGGTGCCCCGCCGGTGTCCCGCCGGTGTTCCGCTGGTGTCCCAGTAAATCTCCTGTGGCTGAGGCGCGGCTGGACCAAATGTTTTCCGACCGGCAAACGGGGCCGCGCGGTGTCCCGCCAGTGTCCCCCTGGTATCCCACCAGTGTCCTGGTGTCCCGCTGGTGCGAAAACGATGGTGAGACCAATAGTGGGATCGGTTGTTAGATCGATGGTGAAATCGATAGTGAGATCGATCGAGTGAGATCGATGATGAGATCGATTGTGGGATCGATAGTGAGAGCGATAGTGGGATCTATGGTGAAATCGATTGAGTAAGATCGATAGTGATATCGATCGAGTGAGATCGATAGAGAGATCGATCGCGAGATCGATGAAGTGACATCGATAGTGAGACCGATCGTAAGATCGATGGAATGATATCGATAGTGCGATCGAAAACGAGATCGAGAGTGAGATCGACAGTGAAATCGATCGAGTGAGACCGATAGTGAGATCGATCGAGTGAGATCGATAGTAAGGTCGATAGTGAGATCGATCGTGGGATCGATAGTGAGACCGATAGTGAGATGCACATCGAAATGCAGATCGACATGCAGATCGAACAGCACATCGACATGCACATCGATAAGCAAATGCAAAAGCAATTCGTCAGGCAAATCGACATGAGCAAGTGCGTGCGCCATCCCCGAAAGGCTCCCAAGAGGCACCCAAGAGGCCCCCACGAGCCTCCCAAGAGCCCCCCAAGAGCCACCCAAAAGGTAAAAAAAACGCGCCCAAACGGCTCCCCAAACCCTGGCAAAATGAACGAAATGATTTATTATTTCATTAGTTCCGGGGTGGGGGACTGGTACCAAGGCACCCAAGAGCGAAGGGTGACGTAAACAACTCGACACCAAGGCTTCCAAGAGCGAGCGGCAACGCAACAATCTCCACTGGCATCGTCAGAATAACAATCACAACTGTTGCCCATTGCTGGCCCCCTCCCCCCCCAACCTCCTTATCACCCGCAGGGTGGTCGTATAGGTACTTGGTTCAATATTTGTGCCTCGGGGGGTACTTTGCCCGTTGCTCGGAGGTTTCTCGGGTTCCCCAGGTTCCCCAGGTGCCAAGCAATGCCAAGCTATGCACCCATGCAATAGGACACTTTCCCCTCATTGGGGTCGCGCCGGGGTCATTTTACGAAGGTCTTGGGCTAATTTTTGCCTCCTGGGGGGGCGACAGTAATTCATTACCCACCCTTCTTTGATCGATCACCTCCAAGATGGCTCCAAGATGGCCGCCGAGGCCCCCGAGTGCACCAAGTTGGCCTCAAGAGGCTCCCAATAGACCCCCAAGAGGCCCCGCCCCCCCGAGGCACCCAAGACGCTTCAAGAGGCCCACGGGGCCGCCAAATGGGCCCCCAAGGCGCCCGAACAAGCCTACAAACATCTCGAGAGACATCTGAAGAAACTCCGAGAAGCATCCAAGAGGCCTCTGCCCTTCCTGCTTGCCCTCCTCCTCCTCCTCTTCCTCCTCTTCCTCATCCGCCAAATCCTCTTCCTCCCTCCTCCCTTTCTCCCTCCTCCCTCCTCCCTTCCCCTCCTCCTCCTCCTCCTCCTCATCCTTCTCCTCCTCCTTTTCCGATTCCTCCTCTATCCTTCCGCTCTTGGGGTATGACGGCTTTCCAACCTTTATTCCACTGCGTGCTCCCCCACATGCCTGCTCAGGGCAATTCGCCTGGGCATCGTTTCTGGATGGGCTGGTGGGTTTACGTAAGGCGTCTAGAATATGCGTCTGATCTATGATCCAAGCGCGGTGGCTGGATGGGCCGAGGGCCAATCACACATCTCTGTATATCCGCCGACGCTGTCGGCGTGTGTGAGAGGCTTTTCCGTTTGAATCGTCGTTGTCTTCGCTGGTCCGCATTGTCGTAGTCGAATCGAACGGAAACCCCTCCCATTTGATCCCTCCCCCACCGAAAGTGGGGGGGTGATGGGAAGGGTTCCAGGGGGGAGGGGTCCGGGGGGGCGTGTGGGTCACTTTACAACCAGAAGCGCACTTTACAACCATATGGGTCACTTTACAACCAGCTTACAACATCCGAGAAGGGCACTTTACAACCAGGAAGGGCACTTTACAACCAAGCAAGTAAAAACACATATTGAATGCACGCGGGCCTTTCCCTGAAATCTCCGTGGGCAAGCGCAAGGGTGGCTTTGGGCTCTTTGGGGCATGTTGGAAAGTTGCCCATCGCGCACGAAGAAGCACTGCGCACGCGTTGGCGATGCGGCGACCTGGTGCGCTATGGTATGTTGCGTGCTGTTGGGCGAATTAGAGTTTTGACCTGCTCTCTAAGTTCTGTCGGTCAGTTCTGCCATTGCTTGCTCTGCCTTTTTCTGACGGGCGAAGGCTAGTCGCGCAGGACATACGAATAAACTATGATCCCGTCCAAGACTGGAGCTGCATGGCAGTGGAAAGCTGTAGTGGGAGATGTGGTGGTAGCGGGGGCTACAATGGGAACTGCATGGTGTTGGGAAGCTGCGGTGGCAACTGTGGTGGTCGCCAGGCAGCGGTGGGAACTGTGGTGGTAGCTGGGCTGCAATGGGATGTGCGGCAGTAGCGGGGGGTCAGTCGGAATTGTGGAGGTAGCGGGGCTGCAGCGGTAAGTGTGGTGGTAGCAGGCACAAAGGTGGCGGTGATGCGCTGTCACGGTGGCTCAAGCTGCTGCGCTGGCACGGTGGCTGAGGCTGCTGCCCGAGCAGGATACCTGCGTTGTTGCGCTGGCACTGTGGCTGACGCTGGAAGGAACGATCTTCGAAATAGTTGCATTTATGCGGAACGTTGAACCTCGGTCTTCCAAGACGAGGAGCAGCAGGGGGGCAACTGGAGCTGGAGCACTTAGCCCCTTGCAGAACACCGTGGGGCTTCAGGGGCCAACGTGGCCCAAGAGACCCGCGGTGCCAATGGCCTAGTTCCCTGGAGCACTGGGCCCTTGTGGAGGCCACTGGGCTCGCTTCCTGTGAGTGATCCCTAAAATGGGCAGCGCGTCGCCCTGAGCCTTCCTACGTATGCTGTCGCCTTATTCCCGTGCGAGCACGGGGCCCTTGTTGAGGCCGCTTGGCCCCTGCTAGCAAGCCCTGTCTTAGTCTGCTGGGCTCAGAGCGCCAGAGCGTCCAGGCGCTCGGGCTCAGAGGCATCGCTGGGGCCTGCTCAGAGCGTCCAGGCGCTCGGGCTCAGATGCATCGCTGGGGCCTGCGCAGAGCGTCCAGGTCCTCGGGCTCAGAGGCATCGCTGGGGCCTGCGCAGAGCGTCCAGGTCCTCGGGCTCAGAGGCATCGCTGGGGCCTGCGCGGGGCGTTCAGGCGCTCGGGCTCAGAAGCATCGCTGGGGCCTGCGCAGAGAGTTCAGGCGCTCGGGCTCCAGAGCGCCCACGTGCTCTGGATCACTTTGCAGAGCGTCCGCGCGCCCTGGAGCACTTTTGAGAGCGCCCACTTGCTCTGGGGCATTTTTCAGAGCGCCCACTTGCTCTGGGGCATTTTTCAGAGCGCCCACTTGCTCTGGAGCACTTTGCGGAACGCCCAAACACGCACGGCCACTCTGAGCTGGTTGTAAAATGGTCCGTTCTGGTTGTGAAATGGCCCGTTCTGGTTGTAAAGTGGTCCGTGCTGGTTGTAAAGTGGGCCGTTCTGTTTGCAAAGTGAACGTGCTCGATGAAAAACCATACTTTCCAATCCTATGTTGGTTGTAAAGTAGCCCATCTGGTTGTAAAGTGGTTGTTCTGGTTGTAAAGAAACCGAATCTCGTCCGGGGGGGGGGGGGGCGGGGGAGCATCCCTTCCTGGGAGAAGCTTTCGGCTCCAGTGCGTCAACGTCGTCGTCGTCGCCATCGCCGTTACCGTCGCAGTCGCCGTGGCCCCTGCCGTCGCCGCCTGCTGCCCGCCGCCGCCGCCGCCGCCGCCGTCGTCGTCGTCGTCGTCGTCGTCGTCGTCGTTCCCGTCCCCCTTCAGGGTGGGCGGTACCAGCCGTACAGCCTTCGCAACATATACATATATAGATACGTATGAACATGTATGAGCATATCTGTCTCTACAGATGCGTACACAACTATACATATATATGTATATATATATATATATATATGAATGTCCGTATGTGCATTTATATACAAACACCTCGTTTTGGTTAGGACTCTCCATCTTCGGGATCACTGCCGTTGGTATCAACGTATCGCGATGAGGAATCATTAACGGGATGCGATCGTATGCGTTCAATGCAATATGACCAGGTTCGCACATAATCGAATGACGCAATCCCGTACTCACTGAGCCCAAATACTAGCGCCACAGGTCTGTTGGGGAAGGCATGGTCCGATCCCCCTATTCGAACTCTCGTTCGCACTCATCTTAACAGAACACGCAGGCGGTCATGTTTTTTGTTTAGCGTGTCTCGGCGGCGGCCCCTGCGATACGCTATGCTTCTCAACATGGTAGCATGCTGCTCTGCTTCGTGGGACGAGCGGCTGGAAAAACCAGGAACGTTGAAACGTGCTGGGCCAGAACCGGCGGTGACACACGCTAAGCAACATGTTCCTGACCGTGCGTCTGCTCGCTGAGTACATTAGGAATGTAAAAAAGCTGGAGCCCCCTCGGATCCTCCACATACCGCACGCGCATGCCCACGTGCATGTCCCGGAACCCGTCCCTGGGTCGTGCGGCCAGCGCCAGCGAGGCAAGGATCGGCTCTGGCTGGCCCTCACGTCCACCCCTCCTTTGCCCTCCCATTCCTTCTCTTCCTTCTCCTCGTCACCGTCCTCCTCCTCCTCCTCCTCCTCCTCCTCTTCTTCCTCCTCCATCCTCCATCCTCCTTTCGCGGCTTGTGGCACAGAGGCAAAGCCGTTCCATACTCCGCCCATCTGGCATTCGACGGTCGGGAGATCGACGCTCAGAGGCAGTACGGTCTCGTGCCGGAGATGCGACGGTCCTCCCATATCAGTACACAATGCTCAGTACAGCCATCGTGCTACCATCAAATACTCAAAACGAAAGAACGAAGGGGCCTTCCTGACCACGGCGAACCTCGGCCACGAACAAGTTCTCCGACCCAGCTCACAAGAACGGCCCGACTGGAACCCCCCCCGAACATAGCGTGGTCCTTCATCTGGCGTCTTGACCGTGCTCAGCACTCGGTACCCCGTCCTCGGGGGCACCCGAAACATGAACGCGGCCCAGGGGGAGCCAACGGACGTATCATCCGCTGGCTCCCTTGTGGGGCCACCAGGCTGTAGGCCGAAGGTTCGCAGTTTCCTGTATCAGTTGCAGCTTCCAGTTTCCACTGTTACAGTTCTGCTTCTTGCTGCTTACTGTTCCTTGTTGAGGGACGGCGCGAGGGGGGGGGGGGCGCCAAATGGGCAGGTTTAGCACGCCCTGAGCGTGTACTCTGAATTGCTGGGGTGGGTAAAAATTTGCACCCCTCACGCAGATCGGCGGGGTCAGGGTGCAAAAACACATGGGATTTGCCAAATTTCTGAAATTCGGTGGCACCCCTCACGCAGATCGGCGGGATCAGGGTGCAAAAACACATGGATTTGCCACATTTCTGAAATTCGGCGGCACCCCTCACGCAGATCGGCGGGGTCAGGGTCCAAAAAACTACATGGGATTTGCGACATTTCTAAAATTCGATGGCACCCCTCACGCAGATCGGCGGGGTCAGGATGCAAAAACACATGGGATTTGCCACATTTCTGAAATTCGTTGGCACCCCTCACGCAGATCGGCGTGGTCAGGGTCCAAAAGCACATGGGATTTGCCACATTTGTGAAATTCGGTGGCACCCCTCACGCACATCGGCGGGGTCAGGGTCCAAAACTACATGGGATTTGCGACATTTCTAAAATTCGATGGCACCCCTCACGCAGATCGGCGGGGTCAAGGTCCGAAAACTAACGGGATTCTCAACATTTCTGAAATTCGGTGGCACCCCTCACGCGGATCGGCGGGGTCAAGGTCCAAAAACACAGGGGATTTGCTACATTTCTGAAATTCGCTGGCACCCCTCACGCAGATCCGTAGGGTCAGGGAGCAAAAACATAAGGGTTTTGCTACATTTGTGAAATTCGGTGGCACCCCTCACGCAGATTCGTAAGGTCAGGGTCGACAAACAAACAGGTCCCGACACTGCTTCACGGCGGCGCCCAGACCTCATGATTTAGCTTTTGCATCTCCCATTATCCGAGACAGGGGGCCGGCGGCATGGGGCGAAGCCCTTACGGATAATTACCCTGTGACGTACCCAACCAATTTGCATCAAGTGGCGAAAGAAGTTGGTCCCAAATTACCAGGACAATGACAGTGCAGGCGCCGTTATATGGAGTGCAAGCTAGATGGGATGCGCTCACGTGGCACGATTCACCAGACAACAGCAGAAGGACGAGGAGCGAAGGCCCAGGCTTGAGGAGGACATGGAGGCGGGAACGAAGGGCAAGAGAAGGACGCGTGGGGAGCCGATCCGTCAGCGTGACAGCAGCAGAGGGAAGGTGGCAGGGGGCAGAAGTCGACGACGAAAGTGACGGGAGGAGACCGAAGAGTTTTACTTTTGTCGGTAATGCGCTACATCTGTAACGCTGCCTGCACCATGTCGCCGTGGCGCTCGACAGAATCCGCCGGCCCAACGGGCCAGAGGCGTGCTAAGATCTGCGGTAACTGGTTAACAATATTTCTAGTTCGCGCGCACGGGGCGGCCCCTGGGGGTCCCCCGGCGAAAAGTACCCCGACCGCCGCCCGCCCGCAGCCCAGCAACTGCTACTCAGAGATGGTTTTCCTCCTGGGCGCGGTCTCTGAGGCCCCCCAGAGCGCGCCAAGAGGGCCACAAGAGGCCTCCAAGACAGCCCCAAAGCGCTCCGAATCACCGAAAGAGCGGTCCAAGACGCCCAAGATGGCCTTCAGTTGGCCCTCGAGGCCGCCGAGAAGTCCCAAGAGCCTCAAGAGGCTCTCCAAGAGGGCTCCAACAAGCAGAAATCGTTTGATTCCCTAGGAAAACGTATTTTTTTCGCATCTGCGACGTCTGGGGTTCACAGCGTCCATACGTGCCCAAGAGGCCCCCAAGATCGCCCCAAGACGGCCCAACAAGCCACCAAGATAAGCCCAAGAAGGCCTCAAGATAGTCCGAGAGATCTCCAAGATGGCCCAAGACGCCTCCAAGACGGCTCTAAAAGCGAGCCCAGACGGGGCTTCTGGTCCAGAGAGGTCCCCAGGAGGCTCCAAGAGGCCGCCAACACGCCTTCAATAGGCCCACGGAGGCCCCCCAAAAGGCCCTCAAGAGGCCCCAAGAGGCCCCCAAAAGGCTCCCAAGAAGCTTCGAAGAGGCTCCCAAGAGGCCAACGGAGGCACCTGCTCCACGACCAAGTTTGGCCCCACAATGCTTCAAGAAGCCATCGAGAGGCCCCCCCCTCCTCATGCTCATCAACCTTCCTTCTCCTCATTCTCGCAATATGGGCGGGCGGAGTGAGCGAAGCGATTAAATCCGCCCGCCCACCGGGCAGAGGGGCGTGTGAGATTTAGCTACGAGGGCTCCTTCCAAAGCTTCGCCCCCCCTTTCCCCCCCCGCCCGGATGCCTCCGCCATTCCGCCGCCCGGCTGCGCTCCATCTCCTTTTCCAGCCCCACGACGGCTTCCAAACGGCGTCCAAAACGAGTTCGATTTTCACACCGCTTCCAATACACTTTTCGGGCGCATTTGGGCTCTATTTTGGCTCCTTCGGGGCCCCTCTTGGGCTCCTAAATCAACTTCTGGGGCCCTCAAGAACGCTTCTTGGGCTCAACCACGCGTACAGACTGGAAACCTCAAACATATAGCCAAACACACCAATTTTGGATGATTTTCGCCTCGCCGGGGATCGCCCAGACGCCTCTTCTGGCTGACTTCCGGGCTCGCCTGGGGCATCTTTCAGCGTGTACACTTCGACACTGTCTCTGGACACGCTCAGGAGATAATTTTGGACGATCCCGGGCTCAACTTAGGCCCCCAAGCGGGGCCCAAAACGGCCCAGAACTGGCCAGGTTTTTGCCGGAAGACGGACGGGGCTGCGGTCCCATGCGGGGGTGCTCGCGCTTGGGTCGTCTAGAAGCCCGCCTGGGCCGCCTCGGGCTCGTCTTGGGCCCCTTTTGGGCCCTTCTCCTGGCCCTCTTCGGCCCTCCTTGGCGCCATTGGGGCCGTTTCCGAGGCGTCTTTGGCTGGTCTTCGGCGCCGTTCTGGCTATCTCTGGCCTCATACAATGGATTAAGCATCCTGAGGACGACCATCCGGGCCACCCATCGGGAGAACCATAGAAAACCATCGGGGCTGCCACGACGTCAACCATCCGGCCCAACGACACACATCGGAGCAAACAGAGGGCCAATCATCCAGGCAACCATCGGGCAAACCATCGGGCCCGCCGTCGCTCCAGCCATCGGGGGCATCATGGGGACTAACAACCCGGCCACCCATCGGGACACCCACAAAAAAACCATCGGAACCCCCACGATGTCACCCATCCGGCCAAACGAACGCACACGGGCGACAGAACTGCGGGACAACAACACAAACAACCTCGGGGCACAGGCCGCCCACCAGGCCCGAATGCTGTCTCTGACGCCCCGATCGGGGGAACGTAAAACCTGGGTACAGGGGACTCGGAAATCCCCGACGAGGTCGTCAAAAAAATGACGAGGCCGAGCCTGCATTTTGACGAGGCCTCCCGCTGCAGACATCCCACGAAACTCCTCCTCGTCAAAATCCGAGGCGCGGTCGTCAAAAAACGATGGCGAACCCGCGTCCTGGCAAACCCGGGTCTTACGCTCCCCCGACCCGACCGCGTCCACCCCAAGACACCGTGCCATGCGCCCACTGACGTTCCTCAGACGTCGGGGACGCGCGACACCCGATGCGGACCCATCCTTCTCTCGCCCGGCTCGCTCGCCTCTCCGTCGTCCGAGGGGGCAGCGCGCCTCATCTGGTGAGAGCAAGAATGGGCGGGTTGTGAACGCGAAGCGTCTTGAACAATCAAGAGTGTCTGAAAGCGGATTCGATACATATGTATGCATGCATGCATGCATATGTATATGTTTATGTATATGTATATGTATATGTATATGTGAATATATATATATATATGTGCTTTATCGCATCCACGGCCCCGTGCGGGCTAGAGCTATCTGCTTGGGAGTCTCGCTCTCGGTGCAACAAACTCGAAAGGCCCGCCTGTGGGCCGAGGCGGCGTCGGGCAGCGGGCGAGGCGGCAGAGGCAGGGATACTCAGGAGAGGAAATCGATGAGGTAGAGAGCATAGGCGGGTTCCGTAGAGCCCCCCGGTTTCACCTCCAGGGAATCTCAAACTCCGTACTTGTCCGTTGTAGCCTCTGACACGTCAGCTTCTTCAATATCTCTCTCTCTCGAACTCCAGAGGCCGCGAGCTCCCGTCGCACGCGATGAGCTTATTTTCGGTCGGGCTTGGCGCCAGCCTTTCTCGCAACTCGCTCGGGCCGCTTCTTCTCCTTGATCTTCACCGCGGCTAGGTCCTTCTGGATCGTGATCGTGCAGGTACTCATGTAGTGCGGGTCGTGCTCCAAATCTGCTCCTTCCTTCGTTCGGATATCCGCCAAGTTCTGCAATCCATCCACCCGACGTCGCGTGGGTTTCGGCTGCCTCGAAGCCTCCCTCAGCA